TTAAAAGATCCTGAAAATATTCTCGCCATCTACCTAATACCTCCATCTCCCCATCTACTAACTCCCCTACTCTGTTTTTAACTGACAAATCCATACTTTCCCTAGGCTTTCTTAACTTAACTCCCTCCAAAATTTTTTCTTATTTTTCATTAAAATTTCTGACAGTGCCTCTCCCACTCTTTCATCTGCTCTCCTTTTGCACTCTCTCACCACTCTCTTCACCTTTCTTTTACTCTCCATATACTCTGCTCTTCTTATAACACTTCTGCTTTGTAAAAACCTCTCATAAGCTACCTTTTCTCTTTTTATCACACCCTTTACTTCATCATTCCACCAATCACTCCTCTTTCCTCCTGCCCCCACCCTCCTATAACCACAAACTTCTGCCCCTCATTCTAATACTGCATTTTTAAAACTATTCCAACCCTCTTCAACCCCCCCCCCCCCACTACTCATCTTTGCACTAGCCCACCTTTCTGCCAATAGTCCGCTATATCTCGCCCGAACTTCCTCCTCCCTTAGTTTATACACTTTCACCTCCCTCTTACTTGTTGTTGCCACCTTCCTCTTTTCCCATCTACCTCTTACTCTAACTGTAGCTACAACTAAATAATGATCCGATATATCAGTTGCCCCTCTATAAACATGTACATCCTGGAGCCTAGCCCTTCAACCTTTTATCCACCAATACATAATCTAACAAACTACTTTCATTACGTGCTACATTCATAACCTTGTATATTTATTGTCCCTTTTTTTCATAAAATATGTATTACTTATTACCAAAATTTCTTTCAAACACATAGCTCAATTAAAGGCCCCCCCATTTACTTTTTACCCCTGGCACCTCAAATTTACCAAACTATTTCCCTCCATAACATTTTTACCCCACTTTAGCATTGAAATCCCCAACCACCATTACACTCCTCACTTGATTCAAAACTCCCCACGCATTCACTCAACATTTCCCCAGAATCTCTCTCTCTCCTCTACACTTCTCTCTTCTCCAGGTGCATACCCCGCTTACTATAACCCACTTTTCACACCCAAATCTTTTTTTTTACTCCAATAATCCCTGAATTTATACATTTGTAGTCCCTCTTTTCCTGCCATAGCTTATCCTTCAACATTTTTGCTACTCCTTTTTTTAGCTCTAACTCTATTTGAAACCCTGACCTAATCCCATTTATTCCTCTCCATTGAAACTCTCCCACCCCCTTCAGCTTTGTTTCATTTAAAGCCAGGACATCCATTTTTCTTCTCATTCATAACATCCACAATCATCTTTTTCTTATCATTTGCACAACATCCACGCACATTCAGACTTCCCACTTTGACAATTTTCTTCTTCTTATTCTTTTTAGTAATCTTTACAGGAAAAGGGTTTACTAGCCCATTGTTCCCGGCATTTGGGTTGACTTTTACAACACGCATGGCTTAGGGAGGAAAGATTCTTATTCCACTTCCCCATGGATATAAAAGGAAAAGTAATAAGACCAAGAACTAAGATAAAATCAAATAAAACTCAGATGAGTGTGTATAAATAAACGTGTACATGTATGTGTAGTGTGACCTAAGTGTAAGTAGAAGTAGCAAGACATACCTGTAATCTTGCATATTTATGAGACAGACAAAAGACACCAGCAATCCTACCATCATGTAAAACAATTACAGGCTTTCGTTTTACACTCACTTGGCAGGACGGTAGTACCTCCCTGGGTGGTTGCTGTCTACCAACCTACTACCTATTATAATAATAATAATAATAATAATACATGTAATAATAATAGTATAATATAATACAATAATAATAATATAATATGTATAATACGTATATAATAATGTACTAGGCCTGAGCTTGCTACCACCTGCAGCTCATAAGACTGCCATCCCCACGAGCCCCTTTGGGGCGGGGCAGATGGAAGACCAGAGCCCTAGCTTCTCCCTATGAGCCCCGTGAGGGAGGGGACTGTGGCTAGGCCTGGGGACACTTGGTCCCAAAGATGAGGGGGTACTTGTACCTCCTCCCATGGCAGACTTAGGTCTCGAGATACTCCCCAGATAGGGAGCCAAGGCCGGGTCACCACTACTTGGAAAAGACCCGGGCCGGGAGAATACCGGCAAATAAGAAAAAAAAACATAATTACAATAACAGACGGCTTCAATAGGCCGTCACTAGATGGCAGCGTTTACCACAATAAAGAGGGAGCGGTTGTGGCCGCCTCCACCTGTTACATAATGGCATATTTTATTCATTCTGGAGTATATATCAGATTTCTATGTTATTTATATTGTTTATTATTTCATATTAGATGAACTATGATAGATAAATAAGCCATAGAGTTGATGATAGTGAAATATTCAAGGAGTACAGTGGAATCTCAAATTTCGAATGTATCGCTTATCGAACTCTTCGAAAATAGAACCCTTTTTCGAACCAACTTTGTCCCTATTATCGAACTCGCCCCTATTTTCGAACCGCCAGGTACTGGACCTGTCCGGCAGCCCGCTCTGTCCGCGTTCCCACGCAGGCGTCGTGAGCCAGTCTGGTTTTGTTGATGCTTGAGTGAACACTAACCTGCGCTCTCATTCAAACATTTTACGATTATTTCATTGTGTTTAGTGCTTGTGGGACTGTGAAATAAGCTACAATGGGAGTAATGAAACTTACAAGTGGTACGCCTGTGGTAAAGAAAGTGAGAAACACCATAGATGTGAAGAAAGAAATAATACAGAAGTTGAATGATGTCCAAGTAGAATGATGTCCAAATGTTTGTGGAAAAGCACCACCCCAAACAAGCTGAAACAAGCCATCTTTGCAACAAGTTCAGTGACAGAACCATGTCCCATTTTAGAGAAATCTTAAAGAGGCACCAGAAACAGAGGACTGTGGACAGTTATTTCGTGAGACAGGGGTCCAGTGACTCTCAAGCTGGTCCTAGTGGCATTAAAAGACAGAGAAGGGAAGTAACCCCAGAGAGGGCTTTGATACCTAAAGTCCTCATGGAGGGGGATTCCCCTTCCAAACACTAACCCGAACTCTCTCTCTCCTCCCTATCTTCCAGATGCCATCACCAGTCTTCAATAAAGGTAAGTAAAATGTTATTTTATATGTTTATTTAAATTTATTAATACATAACTGAACACTATATTTGTTGTGTGTATGTAAAACTATAATTAATCTCTATAAAATGTATTTTTTTGAGTACTTTTGGGTTTCTGGAACGGATTAATTGTATTTCCATTATTTCTTATGGAAAATATTGCTTTGCTTTTCAGACTTTTCGAATTTAGAACTAACTCCTGGAACGGATTAAGTTCGATATTTGAGGTTCCACTGTATTTTGTCCTGTCTCCAGACAAACTCTTGTCGGCCGCTGCCGCAGCCGCCACATATATAATGACATATTTTATTCATTCTGGAGTATATATCAGGTTTCTATGTTATTTATATTGTTTGTTATGTCATATTAGATGAACTGTGATAGATAAATAAGCCATATAGATGATGATAGCAAAATTATCCATGAAGTATTTTGCCCGGTCTCCAGATAAACTCTCGTCCACTGCCGACACCGCCAATACCACTACATGAATTACATATTTTATTAATTTTAGAGTATATATCAGGTTTCTATGTTATTTATATTGGTATTATGTCATATTAGATGAAATGAGATAGATAAATAAGCTGTAGAGTTGAAATTAGCGAAACTATTGAAGTACAGAATTCCATTGGAACGGATTAATTGCATCTCAATTAATTTAAATGAGGAAAATTGACTCTGCAAACGAGCAAATCCAGATGCGAGCAAGGTCATGGAATGGATTAAAATCCAGTTGTGAGCAAGGTCATGTAACGAATTAAACTCGCAAGTAGAGGTTCCACTGTATATTATACAAATAGTCGTAGTGCTAGAAATAAAGTACAGTAAACAGTGATGTTTTAGCAATAACTGCTATGTGGTTTAATCTGAGGAGTCAGGACATAAAGTTGAGTGTCACATACAAAGGTTTAAGTTACTTCATGTTGATGTAAATGCTGGGAAAGGGGGACGTGCTATATGTCCAATAAAATCTGAATTGCTGAATAATAAGAGGTGCAGAATAAAGATTAAAGAAAGACACTCAGTCTGAGAAGAATTTCCAAAACGTTGCAAAAAGTTTATTTTAGGTGTGATATACTGACTCCCAAACTTAGACGGAGACTACACAAGACTTCTCTAGGAGAAAATTTTTTAAGGGGATTCTGACTTTAGTGAAACTGACTGGAAATCAAATAAATTCTTAAAATCAATAATCCTGGATTGCTTTTATAAAACAGTTTGTGACAGAACCAAAGATGGAAAAAGCTATTTGATTAGGAAAAGCAGACCCTTGTCAATAACCTGTAGAATATGGAGGAACTTGGAGCATGTGACCATAAATCGATTACATATAACACTGAACAGAAGTATGATACATACTTCTGGAATAAAATAATATTGTAAACCGGGGGTCCACTGTATATATTAATTGACATTAATTAAGCTAATTTTAGTAATATTTATAAGACTAGGGTAAAAACTAATATTTATGAAATATTCAATGTACAGTGGAACTTCAGTACTCAAACAGCCCCATACTCGAACAATTCAGTATTAGAATGCTTTGTTCAGTAAACAAATCGCTTAGTAGTCGACTGTTTGCTCGGCACTTGACCAAACAAACATGACCTGTCAAACCTTCACTGTAAACTATTTCGTGTTTCTTTGCAATTTTTGGTGTTTTTTTTATATTATTTGTATAAGTCATCATGGGGCCTAAGAGGGCTAGTGATAACAGCCAACCAAGAAGAAAACTGGGTGGGAAAAATATGTTTGGTACTTGAACAGATTGGCACTCAAACAGCTTTCTAGAATGAATTAAGCTCAAGTGCTGAGGTTCCACTGTACATACATCATACCGTGGCATAATTGTAAGATACAAGTTTAAAAGAATCTAGTGAACCATTGGAGAGTCTTACCTCGTAACTAGGTGAGGCTCTTCCTGCTGGACACCACTCATCATTCACATCATCAGCATCATCTGCAAATGATACATGAGAAAACTGCACTTTAAAATATACCTTCTTGTCTAACATAAACAGCAACTTCAATAATAGAATTTTACCAATGTTTAATTCATCAATTTGTCAATATAGCTGTGATCTAATAATAAAAATAAAAGAGTTTATCATTTATATAAATACATGTAGAACAACCACTGCAAAAATAATAGTGAACTTTCAAGCACTTTCGTGATTTTTCACATCAAGGAACTATAAAAATAATGTGAGAAATTATGAAAGTGCTTGGAAGTTCACCATTCTTTTCACAGTGGTTATTCTGCATACTGTGATATCACCTGTTCACTGTGATCTTATTGCATATAATTATAAACATATAGAAACTGAGAGTATTTCTGTTATGTTTGCTTTGCCCAAGAGATGGAGCATACCTAGAAAAAACATGTTAGACATAGATGGATAAATTTAAAATGTATGAACACACCCCAAGTATAGTGCAAGCAATGATAAAAAAAATAACTTTTAAGCATTTACATTTACAAATTAATTGTTACAATGACCTAGTATTAACCCAGAGAATGTACTGCATTGAAATGTCGGTTAACTCCTGACTGGGGTCAGTGTCATTTGCATAGATCTACATATAATTCACAGTGCTCTCAAATCTGTTGTAAGTAGAAAATTTTGCCTAGACATGAGAGAATGGTTCTGTGTGATGGATATGCACAATATAAAAAATCCTGCCCCATGCACTGCATAATGGGAGTAGCTAACCTCTGATCTTGTGTATGGGTTAAGATAATGACTGTGGGGCATTTTCTAGTTTGGTGTTTCTTGATGCTAACAGATGGACTGTAAAACATACTAGTGAAATGGAGAAGAGTTTTGGTCAGTTGCAGACTGGATGTAGCATGAAATAGGCCTCAAAGTATAATAGTTGAGATGGTTGATTTTCTTGAAGAAAAGGGCCTCCAACCTCTGTCCCCCATGTCTGGTTTATGGTTTTTACTTGGTCTGTTTTAATTATTGGGAGGGCTTAAATTATGATCATACAGAAAGTAAACTATCAGAGAATCAGAAATTGGGTAGTTTGAGAACCCAAAAGAGTCAGAAATTGGGTAATCTGAATGGGTAAAAATCACTGCTGCATCAAGTGCTCTCCAACCTCCACCTTCACATCTGAGTACAGTGGACCCTCAGTTATCGGCCATTCCTGATATCGGCCAACTCGGTTATCACCCTTTTTTTTTTTTTGGCTGAAATTTTATTTTGGTTATCGGCCGTTATTTCGCTTATTGGCTGTATTGGATGCGTCCACCCGCCAGCAGCTCACACGTTCGTGAGTCAGTCTGGCTGTGTCTCTGAGTGAGTGAGGAACTTCTACTCATTCATCCAAACATTTTGCTATAATCCATTGTTTTTTGTGGTTACTAATTAAGTGCAAATGCAAAATAAGCCACCATTGGCACAAAGAAAGTTCCTAGTAAAGTTCCTTTGGTAAAGAAAGTGAGAAACATGATGGAATTTAAGAAAGAAGTTGTTGAAAAGCATGAGAGTGAAGGAGGAAGAGAGGGAAGAATGTGCCTTATTCAGTGATTCTACGATATGTACAATACTAAAGCAGCAGGAGTCAATAAAGGCTATAGCGCCAGCCAGCGATAAAGTGTAGCATTAACAGTGTAGCCCTGCGTATCTTCCACCACCCTAAACCAATGCCAGCATCTCCTCCAAGGTAAGTGTAAATATTTCTTATTTATAAATTACGCACATTGTTTGTGTTAATTGTAGTGGTGGTCTCTGCTGCTGCCTCCACTACCACTAATATGTAAAGCTTATGCTCTCAGTGGCCCTTATAAACTCAACAACACCACCACAACTCCACATACGTAATAAGATATGTTATTCATTCTAGAATATATATCATGTTTCTATGTTATTAGATGAATTGTGATAATAACTAAGCTGTAGAGTTGATAATAGTATCATAATTAAGCATTTTGTCCTGTCTCCCAACAATAAACTCGCCTCCCTCTTCACTCCACATCATTTTGCATATGCCAAGACTCTTCAATAAAGGTAAAAGTGATTTAAATGTTCACTTATCCATTTCATTAGTCATTTTATTTAGTTCTCATTGTTTTGTGTATGTAAAACTATAGTTAATCTTCAAATATTGCATTTTTTGGAAATATTTTTGGTTGTCTGAAATTGGATTAATTGGATTTATATTAACTCTTACAAGAAATATTACTTCACTTTTCAGCGATTTCGGTTTTAGGCCGACCTTCTGGAACGGATTACAGCTGATAGCCGAGGGTCCATTGTAATTCCATAAGTATGGCATCAAATTTTTCATTTTTGGTGGCATTATTTTTATAAAAAGATTCTCTACCAATTGATAAAAACAAAAATACTGTTTTATTTTTTCAACATTGCCAACACAGAAGAGGCTTTCAATTTGGGGGTTGTCAACATGTTAATGGTTAATACACTGCAATGCTGTTGAAATATGGAGGAAGGTGACAAAAAATTATCATTGGTTATTACAAATCTTTAATCATGAATACCTTCAACCATCATTTTTATGTACAGTAAACCCTCCATATAACGGATCTCATATCAACTTCAGAAATGAGGCAAAAAATTTGCTTTGTCAGTAGATTCAGAAACAATGGACCAAGTCCATTGGTTACAGAATTGTACATTATTGTCTTTTGTACTTCACAATATTGTAGTATTACATGAAAACTACATTTTGTATACTGCAGAAAAAATGAAGTTTGGTTGTTTTATTTGCGTGTTTGCCTTCTCTATCTACCACATCTGCTACTACTGGCTACCAGCTCCCCTCTATTAGTCTATTGTATGGAGGGTTTACTGTAGTAGAGTAATGCATATTTTCCAAAACTGTGAAAAAATATAAAAAAGTAGTCCCTCACTTTTTATGAGTTTACTACAGGTCAACCATCACTAATCCAGCAACCAGTTATCCGGCACTAATTTCGGCTAGCATAATTTCAAATTTCATCATTATACTGACTCAGAAGCTGTGCAGGTGTTTGTAAATCCACAGCAACAAGCCAGTGGAGGAGAAAGCAGTGATGAAAATGAAGATGATGTAGCAGAAAGAGTCTCTATTGATAGACTAATTAAGTGTACAGTGGACCCCCGGTATTCGATGGCATCGGTATTCGATAAATCCAGTATTCGATGCATTATATCGCAAACAATTTTCCTCGGTATTCGATTGAAAACCCAGTATTCGATACGATTCGTACGAGACCTGTCCACGTGTGGCCTGAACTGCCCCGTGTGTGCCAGTGTTTACAAGCCAGCCAGTGTGCGCGCATCTAAGCATACATTCGGTACATTCCATATTATCCATATTATCACTGTGTTTGGTGCTTGTTTCTGCAAAATAAGTCACCATGGGCCCCAAGAAAGCTTCTAGTGCCAACCCTTCGAGAAAAAAGTCGCTAATGACCTATGAAATGAAAAAAAAGAGATAATTGCAAAGTATGAAAGTGGAGTGAGTGTGTCGGAGCTGGTTAGGTTGTATAATAAACCCCAATCAACCATCTCTACTATAGTGACCAGGAAAACGGCAATCAAGGAAGCTGTTCTTGCAAAAGGTGCAACTGTGATTACGATTGAGAGATTGTTATTGGTGTGGATAAATGAAAAACAGATAGCAGGAGATAGCATCTCTCAAGCGATCATTTGTGAAAAGGCTAGGCAGTTGCATCAAGTCCTGATGGAAGGGGATTCCCCTTCTAAACACTAACACCTCTCCCCTCCTCCCATCCCATCAATCATCACCAGATCTTCATTAAAGGTAAGTGTCAATTATTTTATTGTTATTGTAATTATTCTATTGCATTAAACTTAATATTTCATGTAGTAAAATTTTTTTTTTCATACTTTTGGGTGTCTTGCACGGATTAATTTGATTTCCATTATTTCTTATGAGGAAAATTGATTCAGTTTTCGATATTATGGTATTTGATGAGCTCTCAGGAACGGATTAATATCGAATACCGGGGGTCCACTGTATTCTAACCTATCCATTCTGTAATCCAGCAAACTCAATAATACGGCTTACAGGTCCCAATGATGCCAGATTAGTGATGGCTGACCTGTACATGCAAATTCACTATTGTCTGAATTCACTTTTATGCATTGCCCCACTTCTACAAGTAATCCCATATGTGGAACATAAATTCGCTCCATACAATCACTGCAGTTCTAAAAAGGCAGTGAAAGTTCCAATATAATGAAGAATCAAGTGTTGATGATCTGATTGAGATTACTATACTGTAGTTGTGCTGACCCTTGTAGGTTTAGCACTTCATTTCTGATTGTAATAATAATATAGGTGTGCCAAAAACCTGGTGCAAATCTACTGTATAAAGTAAAGGATGCCAGTAATCCTTAACTTAGTATATGAGTTACAATCCAAATAAAGTGACTCGGTAAGTAGTAATAAAAAATGAGAGATCACTAATATGTACATCAACAGTACAGCATGCCTAAAAATAATTAAGCACTGACATACCATGAGAGTGGTCCTGAGTTTGTGTGTGTGCAGAAGATTTCAATAAGGGAGGAGACACTACACCCTGCTTTGCCTCAGCAATGAGACGACGTGCTCGCTCTCGTAAATGTGCCTGTCGCTCCTCTTCTTCCTAAACCATAATAAATTTCTTCATAATTCTTGAAAGGACAAATACATATACTTATTTATACAAACAGAAATGTAAATCTGTTAAGAAACTTACAAAACAAATGATAATAGAAGCAAAAGTTTACCTTTGATAGAGACCGTTGCGGTCCAGGACGACTCTGAGCTTCTCGTCTGGCTTGTTCTAATAAATGTCTTGCTCGCTCTTTCAGTTCTTCATGTCGAGATGATGGACGCTGGGGTAAAAAAAAAAATATATATTATTAGGCCTTCAGAAAGGTAAATCGAACAAATAAATAGCAAGGGGTTAAATTACACACTGAATCTAAGAACAAAGATTTGAATAAAACTGCAGAACAATTAATTAAAAGTAAAGAATAATAAATGCAGAGGTCCTTGTACTATCTAAGCTGTACATATATAATACAATATCTGGACTATTTTATATCACATATACTCTCTGTATTTTGTCTTATTGGGATACAGTTGCTTCTAAAAATTCAATGGAAGTTAAGTTCCTAGAGGTCCTGTGAAACTAGAAACAACAAATAATCCAAAATAAAGTCTGCATGCCAAATTTTATTTTAGATTTGCATTCATTTTGTGTTTCTGAGATCTCATCTCTGACAGTCATCACTAAATTGGTTAATATTGACATTCATGAGGAATAATGCCAAGAACAAAAAGAAATTTGGGCATGGGAAGCCTAGTGAGCCTGAAAAACACTGAATAATTCAATCTATTAGTAGAGGCATTGGATAAATGAAATCCACAAACAAGGAAGCCTGCAAATGACTTTACAATATTACACAGTAGTAAATGCAAGTCATGAATAAAACAAAAATACAGTAGGGCCCCACTTATATGGGAGGTTAGGTTCCAGGCTACCACTGGAAAGCAGACATCACCAGAAAGCGGAAGGTCAATTTTTTTATTATGTATATTTACACTCGAATTTAAATATAAATTTAAGACTGAATTTGATAGCTGTGTACAGAAATCTATACCAGTAGTGTCAGTCAGTGTTAAATCAACCTGCCCATAATTAACACTAGGAACTTACAGTACATTCTTCTCCATCATAAAACATTTACACAAATCAAAATTCAGCAACTATCATTGTGCTCACTTCTGACCATTTTTACTATCAATTGTAAATAAAATTTTTCTCATAACAAACCTGATTACCACACATCTAAGTAAAAAAGTCTCAACTTAAAGCCTGTAAGACTTGTAATCCATTCTGGGATCAGCCAAACTTGTAAATGCAATTTTTGTACAAGTGGCAAAATTAATTACTTTCAAAGACTTACTTCACACTACCTTACTTGATCACAATTTTCTACATTTAATGGTAGGAAACAATGAGAGAGTGTCTAATACAAGATACAAAAATCCTCTATGACATTCCCTGTGTTTGATTCAGTCTGTGTAAAAGCTCAATGTGCATAAAAGGACCTAAAATCTGGAACTCCTTGGATGAAGATTCCAAATGTTCCCATCTGCCAACTACTTCAAAGCTACAGTTAAAAAAACCTCCTTAACTTAATGTGATCCTAACAACATTTATCTCATCATATTTAGTATCATTTCTTGTAACTAACTTCATTCTTATTGTAAATTTCATTAGAATTTTTATTTTGAATTACCAAATACTTTAAATATTTTATAATCTAAGTGTCCTTATTTTCATGTACCTTGCTAGGATTGTATCTGATCATACACTATCATTCTCACTGAATTAGTACTACTGTAAATATCATTAATGTCTTACATACATATGTGTAAAATACTATCTCTGTAATAATACAGGTTAACTAGTTTCACTCTTACTGTAATAATTATCAGAATTTTCTTTTGAATTAATGGAATGATCCTAGTGTAACATAATCTATGAGTTCTTATTCCCATGTAACCTATGATTTTATCTGCTTCATATACATGTAATCATATTCATGTAACCTATTTTATTTTGTAAATCATTATTGTCTTATACACCTACCATCCGACTTACGACCTGCTCGACTTACAACCGTGTTTTTTTTTTGCCAAATTTCTGGGAAATAAACAACTATTTGTGTTGTACACAGTGTTTATCCTAAACCTTACAGTATAAAATACAATACTAACAGCATAAAAAGTAAAGTAAAACATGAAATACCAAAGTAAAACAATAAAATAAAGTCAATACAAAAATGTGATATTGATATTCAGTAGTAAAGTTCGACTTACGACCATTTCGACTTACGACCGGTTTCTTGGAACCGAACTCGGTCGTAAGTCGGATGGTAGGTGTATACAAATATGTAAAATACTACAGTCCTTCTAGATGTAAGTTAGGTTTAAGCTTCTCTGAAATGCTCTGTATAACTAAGGAGTTTAACATGTGAGAGATGTAATGTTATTCAATTTAGTACATACGATGAATCGAGTGGAAATAAATTGATTGATTGATTGATATGACAGTTTGAGCCTATGGGAAGCCAGTCCTAAAACAAGCATTCCAGTGTTCTTTAAGGACAGGCTTGTCTTAGCTTAAAACTCTTCCAGTTCCCTGCTTTGTTCACAATTGCATCATTCTTATTTTTGTGAATCACTTACCATGGCTTTGAAAGACCTTAAACTCGACCTCAGTTATCATGGAAGTGTGGGACTGATCAATTAAAACTTGCATAAGTGTATAGAAATATAACTAACTGGATAACTCTTATTAGGCATTCATGGACCAGTGACCAGAGCAGTGACCTGTAGTTTTATAACTAGTATGCTATGGGTTTGAACCCTACCTGTTCCTAGAGCTGTTGTATTATTGCCAGGCCCAGCCATGATTAATCCTATGATGAAAGTAAGTAAAGACTTGCTCCAACTATTTCTAGCCTCACCTACGAAGAAGGATTTTACGCACATTGCCCCCATCCTCTTGTCTGATTTCTTTGTTCATTTTATCATTAAAACATGGTATCATCTAACTGACGAATTTTGCTTCCACTGACACACCCATTACCTTAGTCATTCTAAAACCAACGATTCCACTAATAATAATAATAATAATATCTTTATTTCATATCCTTATTTCTACAATATTTTTCACTCCAGAAGGCCATGCAGACCAACTAACTGACATTAGTACAAATCCCATAGATTTCGAAAAAGAAATGGAAAACATGCCCACTCACTCAGCACCTGGACCAGATTCATGGAATGCTCTATTTATAAAGAAGTGCAAAGTACCACTAGCACGAGCCCTCAGTATTCTTGGAGAAAGAGCTTAGATCTAGGTAAAATACCGGAGGCCTTACAGAGTGCAGACATAACTCCTTTGCATAAGGGAGGTAGTAGAGCACTAGCTAAAAATTACAGACCAGTAGCCCTTACCTCTCGCATCATACAAATCTTCGAAAGAGTGATGAGACAGCAGATTACAAATTTCATGGACCAGCACAACCAACATAACCCAAACCAGCATGGTTTTAGAGCAGGACCATCATGTCTGTCACAGCTGCTGAACCATTATGACAGAATTATGGAGGCATTGAAAGACAACCAAAATGCAGATGTGATTTACACAGATTTTGCAAAGGCGTTTGACAAATGCGATCATGGAGTGATAGCACACAAAATGAAGGCCATGGGCATTACGGGGAAGGTAGGCAGATGGATTTTCAGTTTCCTAACGCACAAAACACAAAGTAGTAGTGAACAGGGCAATATCCAGCATCAGTGAGGTGCCCCAAGGCACTGTCCTGGCACCTCTGCTGTTTCTCATCCTCATAGCAGACATACAAAAACACCCGGCACACTTTTGTATCATCATTTGCTGATGACACTAAAATAGGCATGAAAGTCAGTATGGTAGAGGACACTGAAAAAGTACAGGAAGACATAAACAGGGTTTTCCAGTGGGCAGTGAACAACATGACGTTCAATGGTGATAAGTTCCAGCTGCTTACGTATGGAAAAAATGAAGAACTCAGAAGGATGTTAGGTAAGACACATATGCAACAGTTAGGTATCTTTATTATGAAACGTTTCGCCTACACAGTAGGCTTCTTCAGTCAAGTACAGAAAAGTTGATAGAAGCAGAAGATACTTGAAGACGATGTAATCAGTCCATCACCCTTAAAGTTTTGAGGTGGTCAGTCCCTCAGTCTGGAGAAGAGCATTGTTCCATAGTATGAAATAATACCGACAGGTTGTTAGGTAAGACACATATGCAACAGTTAGGTATCTTTATTATGAAACGTTTCGCCTACACAGTAGGCTTCTTCAGTCAAGTACAGAAAAGTTGATAGAAGCAGAAGATACTTGAAGACGATGTAATCAGTCCATCACCCTTAAAGTTTTGAGGTGGTCAGTCCCTCAGTCTGGAGAAGAGCATTGTTCCATAGTATGAAATAATTATTTCATACTATGGAACAATGCTCTTCTCCAGACTGAGGGACTGACCACCTCAAAACTTTAAGGGTGATGGACTGATTACATCGTCTTCAAGTATCTTCTGCTTCTATCAACTTTTCTGTACTTGACTGAAGAAGCCTACTGTGTAGGCGAAACGTTTCATAATAAAGATACCTAACTGTTGCATATGTGTCTTACCTAACAACCTGTCGGTATTTTATACCATTTTAATGTCCAACTCAGAAGGAGCACTATATACAAAACTCATGAGGGCCACCAAATAGAACGTAAGGAACACGTAAAAGACCTAGGAATAATTATGTCAGCGGACCTTTCTTTTAAAGACCATAACAAGACAAAGATCATGACAGCCAGGAAGATGACGGGGTGGGTATTGAGAACTCTGAAAACAAGGGAAATAATGCCGATGGTGACACTCTTCAAATCGCTAGTGTTCCCTCACTTAGAATATTGCTCAGTGCTGACAGCCCCATTCAAGGCAGGAGAAATATCTGAACTGGAACAAATACACAGAGATCGTTTAAGGCTCACATTGAGCCTGTAAAGCACCTAAACTACTGGGAACGTCTGCAAATCTTGAACATGTATTCATTGGAGCAGAGGAGAGAGAGGTACATAATAATATATACCTGGAAGGTACTCGAGGGCTTGGTCCCAAATCTGCACACTGCCATAACAACATACTGGAGTGAGAGATATGGGAGGAAGTGTAAAATAAACCCAGTGAAGAGCAGGGGTGTGGTGGGGACAATAAGGGAACACTGTATCAACATCCGGGGTCCTAGACTAATTCAACATCTTACCAGAGGAGATCAGAAACACGGCTGGAACCAGTGTAGAAGCCTTCAAGAGGAAACTGGAAAAGTATCTTCACCTGGTGCCAGATCAACCAGGCTGTGATGGATATGTGGGGCAGCGGGCCTCCAGCAGCAACAATCTGGTTAACCAGGCAAGCACCAGGGAGTAGATAAACTCTCGAAACTCTTCAAAGGTATATACAAGGTATACAGGCCTAGCTGATATCAATGACATACTACTATATAGAAAGTCACTTGTTATGCAGATGATTTTGGGCAAATTAGGCCAGTTTTGTCCCAGGATGAGACCCACACCAGTCGATTAACACCCCAGGTACCCATTTTACTGTTGGGGAACATAGATAACAGGTGTAAGGAAATATACACCCAATGCTTCTACCCTTGCTGGGAATCAAATCTGGACCTTCACCATGTGAAGTGAAAGCATTAGTCACCAGGCTACGGGGCACCATGAGCCAGTCCAGAAAGTGCTCCTTTTGCATATAGCATACCCAATGTGATCCCACACACCAGGGCTAAAGAACCCACTTCAGGATGCACATGGGGAAAGGATTATAACTGAACACCCCCATAGTTCATAACACTCCTCCTGAAAATGGCAGTCTGAGGTTTGCATTGCAAGAATTTGATCATGGAAGGAGTGTTGGGAAGGAGAACAAGCTCAAAGCTGGGGAAACATTGATTAGCTTGAATAACCTTTACCCAGGCAATTACTTAAGAGGGTCTCAATTTATTTCTCATAAGAAACTTATCACCACTGGCATGCCTCCCTCTGGAAATTCTCTTATGTAAAAAGTGTGATAAAACTATATTTTATTCCATACTCCAACAATTCAGTGCAGTTTCAAGCATTTTCTGACAAACTGCTATTTTTAGCTAAAATATGTATATATGCTACTTGAAAAGCATCACTGAGAAAAAAATTGTCCACAAGGGACACAATATACTTCTAAGGATCTTGCTCATCTATTCACAGTCAAGAAAAGAAGCCCTGCCTCTTCCTGGAGCTCATTATCCTCAAACCACCTGTTACCACTACCAAAGTTCTAAACAGAGACCACAGCCAAGTTAACATCATCCTTGCACTATCCATGCAGCACTTCAATGCTAGAGCTGTACACTACTCTCTCACCACCAGGAAATATCAGAAACTTGGAAGAGACATAAATCATAATTTCCCATACTGTCCACCTAGGCTCAACTGTGTTCCGATAAAAACATTCCATGCCAGGCATTTGGGGTATCACAGTATAAAAGGAAATATTCTAGAAAAGCTTTAATGAAACAGGCTTAGTGGAATACTCTACTGTACTGTAGCTCAGCAATTTGAAGAAAAGTGCAAATTAAAAATTACACTGAACTGTAACAGGAATCATGCATCTTTCTCTCATTCTAACAGAGTCTGTATTAGAGAGAGAGATTTCTAAATTGACATTCATAATTTTAATCTTATTCAGAATACACTGAACTTTGGAGAACATTTCAAACTCAGAATTTCAGAAAACATTTCCTCTTATTTGGAAATTTCTAAATTAAAGAGCATTCTAAACAGGAGTCTACTGGCAGAGCTGCATCTGCTCTTATTGACAGCTCCTTATATGTTGATTTAGGCATAAGAATTAACAAGTGAGCTTCTGCATTACAAACTGAATTATATGTCATTCTGATGGCACTGAAATTAACACACAACACTGAGCTTGATTCCTTAATCATTACCAATTCTATGTCATCACCAGAAGTGCTTGACTCCCATAATGACTCAAACAACATGCACACTGGAGACAACAGATATTAAAAAATCAAGGAGAAAGGAATTAATGTTCAGTTCTCATGGCATCTCTCACACATTGAATTAGAGTAAATTTTTTGGGCTAATTTATCACCTTGACAGAAAAAGTTTAATTTAACTTTTGTATAACTGTGTCAAGTATTAGAAACAACATTAGAAGAGAAGTGAATAATTAATCTGAACGTCACTGGAATGCAGTTAGAAGCCTGAGTAGATATATAAGTATGATAACATAACATAAAAAACAGCACATTTATGGAACAACTTGCAATGTAAACTGACTGACTGATGTTATAGTAGCCAGGCATAGACTTGGTTAAAAGTACTTCTGACAGTTTGGTAGACACAGACAAATGATGATCAAACTAAATGCAAAAGTATGTTGTCAACCTTATGGTCACTCTCTTGAACACTGTGCTTAACTGTGCACTTACTGAATATAGAGATAGTATAAAAATTCATGTGATATGTCAAAATATCTTATCAGTGAATCTTATTTATGAAAACAATACACCAGACTTTTAAGCAGATATCTAAATCTGATTGCAATATATGGAATATAAATTTAAAACATATATCCAGATAAGCTCCTGTTAGCCCTTCTGGGGCCTACTGCCTAGGTCTTTTTTATGTATGTATATGCTACTGCACTACTGTCCATGGGATGGATATGGGTACACAATAAACTAGCCACATCAGTGGCAAAATCTAAAAAAAAAAGACTATAAGCCATTAAAATTTTATTTTCCAAAGTTTTGAATATTTTTATTGCACCATAAAAAAGTCATAATAAAGAAGATAGAGTTTATCAAAAAAAATTCTGTTGACCCAAGTTCTTTAATTTTGGTATTCATAGATACATTATTAACTACAGGAGTCTAAATATCCAAGTTGCAACTTGTAAATAAAAAATCAGAAAACATTTTTAAATTACTAAATCCAGTTCTTAAATCAAGTTAAAATATGAAGAAAATGTCAAAATATACAGCATATAAACCTGTGAACCTTTTTTATCCAAATCATAATACAGTATTTATAAGTCATGCAAGATTTGCAATCAATATTATGACAAAAATAATACTGTATTACAAAAAATATTTACACAACAATGTATTAAAGCTATTAGGTAAGATAAAGAAATACTGTAATAGCTTTTTCATGATTTATATACAGCATGTTATTGCTAAATGGGACCACATGAAACTTTATCATACCTATTCAATAAATTAATGTGAGTAATGGAATTTAAAAAATTAATAAAGTGGAAAATTTACATATTTTGCCTAAAATAAGTACGTGCTGTATCTAGAACTAAGATTATCTACAGTACTCATTAACAGTAGGTATGATAAGGCTTTAATAGTGCACAAATTAGTGGACAAATAAGCCCTTGTTTGTCCATGGATGAAGATCTGTGGGAAAATACAAGACCTGAGTTAAGCACCACGACAAGCCAGGATTAAATGTTTTATTTTGCTGTATTCATGCTGGCATGCCTCAAGGCAGTGTCTTTGTCCTGTCTCTCTTCAGTCACATTTCAGCAACTTTTAAGCAATTCAAAACTGTGAACTCTTAAACAAAGGACACTCCTTTGCACTCAATCTCATTTATCACTATTTAACGGGTCTCGAAATCAATCCTCAAAAATTTGTCAACACTATTCCTGCAATATTTCATGGTTTTAAAACTCGAGCATTAACCATCTTTTTCTTCAGCAAGCCAATTTTAAACCACAACTCAATTATATAAATAACTTTTTTAATTTTTCCAATCAAATTAATTTTGTCGGGGCTAAATGGAATTTATAATCTTTCTGTAAATCAATGTTTTATTAACCCTGTTAAAATATTTAAAAAGAACTGTTTAAACGTCTTCACATGTCTTCTAGTAGCATCCTTTAATGCACCCCAAACACACTGCTGCACAAAGAAATATAAAAGCACAATACTGTGACTGAAACAATACACAAATAACCTGAACATATGAGACTGAAACTTATGACAAGATTTCAGTCCAACTTGGACCATTAACTAGTTAATGTGTGACTAGTTAACCAAAACATCATCATGAGTTTGTCTCCTATGAGTGGGTTATTTCTGCACTGCTGCACAGTATCCACTGCCTGCCAACACCATACTTTTAAAATGAAACATGTTTGAGCATCCTAATCTTATAAATATTTTTCATTTACTTCAGTACTGGAACTTTCTATTTATTATCTTTCCTTTCTCATATAATCTACAACAGTTCAAATGTACACTTTATAATACCTCATCAAACCCATAAAAAAAATCAATTATCTTCTTCTCATTAGCAAGAGTACTAACTGTATTTGAATATGTCTTAGTTAAAATCGCTATTAATGCCACTGATGTCAGGTGCATCACCCCAACAATTCCAAATGAAAAAAGAGTATATAAATAATGGTACATGCAGATGGGCATTTATTCTTTTAAAACTTTGGAGGAGGATATGCTAAAAGAGCAAACAGTAGCACATAAGAATTATTTTTAATTAACCAGCGGCAGAATATTAGCATCATATTGTTAGTGTATGTTAAATAACATCAGTGTCATCATGCATATCTTAGAATTAGTAATGCTATTAAAAAAATATGGAACAGAATTTGTTTTTTTTGCCTGAGTAGAAAAAAAAATAATGCCAAAGCTCTTGAGCAGGATTGGCAGCAAAAACTGAGCATTACACACATTGCAGTAAACACACACTAATAACTCCAACTGTAGAACCTTTGTCAGAAGCAGGTGTAGTGCTGCCCTATCACTTGTTTCCAGATGAGATATTCCAGCAACCTGGGCCATGAGCAGGACATCTTCCTCTTCAGGTGATGTTTCTTCAGCAAAAGTAGTTACAGAATCTTGTCCATTGTGATCAGTTTTTAAGTCAGACTGAGAAATGCCGTGAGCAGTTTGTGCAGGTCCATCAGGTAGGCACTGAACTCCAGATGTACCTTGAGATGTGTGTAGATGTGTTTCTGATTCATCATTGGCTGATGAAATTTTGGGTCTAACCCCACCATTGACTGCATCAGCAGGCATAAAGTTTTCTTCTTGTGTGTTATCAGAAGCTACAGATAAAAAATCCTTCACAGAGTGTTTCTCAAGATTTTTGCAATCATCACCTACTTCAACAGGGCAAATCTGATGAATGCCCTCACCAGTCATTTTCGTCCATTCCGTTACCACAATACCTTCTGTCACTGGAATTCTCTCAGCTTTCTTAACTCCAGGAGTCTGTCCATAAAAGAGAAGATTATATAACCCCTGTGTTGTATGCCTAATTCCATCTAAGAACCATCCCCTTTGCTTGGGCACTTCATTTTCCACTTGTATTTCTTCCTTTTCTGGCATCACTGAAGATGCTCCTGTTTTAATTTTAAAATTACTTTCCATATTTTTTCTGTCACCCCTTATTTTGTCAACACATTCTGGAGACAGCTTTTCCCAGACAAAATTTTTAGTATCTAATTCAAGTTCCATTTCACCAAATTCAAACTCACTGTCAAAATCCCCATCCTCTTCTCTAATATTTTCCAGTTCTTGAAGCCAATCTTCTTCTTCCTCTTCCAAAGGAAGCTGAAAATCTTTTCCATCAAATACAGAATCTGGCGAACAACTCAAAAAGTAAACAATACTTCCTTCAGGACTAATATCTCGTCTGTAGAGATTTGCAATCTCTTTGCTTTCTTTAGAATGACAACTGCCTCTAGGAATTGGTATTGAACCTGTATATTTTGTATTCTTGTCTTCAGGAAGAGAAAAATCTGCAATTGCTCCAAAGTTTCCAATATTTCTCTTTTCTTTCATTACTGTAGCCCAATATTGAAGTACAGCAGCATTATTAACAGATATAACATCTCTACCAACTGAGCCACTACTCTGGCTCTCAACAGACTCTGCACGAGAAAGTAGTAAGGTACTTGAAGTTTTCTCTAGTGCTGGATAGCAAGGACATACACTGTCTTTATAAATTCTTGAATCTAATGAATTTGCCTGCGAGTTACTTGCATCAATAAGCGGAATGTTCATCTGATCAATATTCATAAATGAATCTTGGACAGCCTCTGAGCTAGTATTAGAAATCCAACAAAAATCTGACATGGCATCACATTCCATATTTACATCGATAACAGTTGCCGGAACTGATTCTTTGGAGTTGTACTTGTTTAATTCATTATATTCTACAGACCTTATCTTATTTGCCACAGGCTCTGCTGTTTTATCTCCCAGGAACTTCAGCACATCACACTGGATTTCCTGTTCAGGTTGAAATTTTGGCTGAAAACAGTTCTGTTTCAGTGACATGTTTTCATCAATATTGCATCTCTCATCTTTTTCAGACATAGGTGTCTTAAGTTCAATGTTTTGAACTGCATCCATCAAGTCAGGAACATTTACATCATTCATATTACTGAGCATTTTGGTACATCCTTAAATAATTCTTTAACAGCTGCAGAAAAAACAATTGATTTATCTTCTGTTTCAACATTTGGCACTGCAAATATTTTGTTAGAAATATCCATGTCTTTTTTATTATTAGGTATTTCAGGGTCTTTCACACACAATTCTCCTACAGATGCAGTAAAAACTGGCAGCTGTTGCTCCTCTGTTTCTTTAGCATATGTTTCTTTACCTTCACAAAATAAAGCTGCAATTTCATTTTCCTCCAAATCCTCATTTTCATCTTTACCTTCAGTTTTATCCAAATTAACCAAATCATATTTAAAATCAGTCATAGAGTAAACCATTTCCTGCTCAACAACAGCAGCAAATAATGGATCTTTTTCAATATATTTTGGTTTAGCTTGGACCCTTTCTGGAAGCTGACACTGACTTTTGCTGATAACAAATACATCAATAAATTCTTGTGTCCCCTCTTCTGCAGATGCATACATTAGTGCTCTAAGCATTTCTTCCTCAGCTAGAGAACACACAGGAATATCTTCCACATCACTAGTGCAATATAATTCACTCTCATCTTTCTCAAATGCTTCTAAGCAATCTTGCTGCACCTAAAAGTTGATTCTTCATCATCAGGCAAACTTATGCATTCTTCTTGTAAAAAGCTGCCATCAGTGACAGCCAGCATTTCATCACTTGGGGCATGAATAAGTATTTGTGGAATATTCAGCCTTGAGGATTTAAGTTTTAAAATTTGATCATCAAGAGTTCTGCAACTTTTTCCAGAAATTTCTTCACTTTCACATTGTATAACTAAGAATGGATCCTCATTTGAAGTAATTTTTTGAGAGTCTATGAAAGTTACTCCTGAACTGATGTAGGGATCTGTAGCTATCTCTTGAGAAACACTTTCTAAATCTACTTGCTCCATGCTTTCCATAGCATGCATTATATGAAAGATCTTTCCTTTCACCATAGTTTCACTACTTGTGCTTGCAACACAGGCATCTACATATTCCTCAAACTTATTCAAGCATTCAGTGGATAAATTGCTGATGGTAATGTCACTGCTTTCTTCATTGTTTGCTTTTCTTTCCACTTTGATATTTGCATTTTCTGGTTGCACGAATGAATCTGAATAATCCCTTCCACAACATTCAGAGTTTTCAGGTTGTTCATCTGTTATGTTCAACATGCTTACATTCGATTCGTCTAAGTATTGGGAATTAAGATGATCATAAGCTGTACTATTCTTAACATCCATATTAATTAACTGTTCAGCCTTCTGACCATTTTCATGAGTATTAGAATTTTCCACTGCTGACTCTTGAAACTTTTCAGAACTTGGTAAGAATAAACTTTTAGTGGCATTCAAAGTAATGCTTGTCAAAGATTGCTCATTGCTCTTATTAAACTTTTCAGAGTTTCTTAAACTATTATCCTCAAATGTACTAATGGAAATGTTTTGTAATGCTATTTTTGAGGGCCAATCAGTTTCCTCATTATTTAGTATACAATTTCTGACATCTGCTTCCAAAACTTTACATTTATCACATGATTCTGCCTGAACTTGTTCTAGTACATTATTTACCACAATAAAAGCTTCAGGAGCCAGTAGTGCTGCCTGTGAAGTATTTTCTGCTAGCATATTATCACAAGCAGGCTCCATGCAGCACTGAACATATAATACAGAATAATCTAGGGAAGGCATTTCAGTGACAAACTGCTGATGAAATTCTTCAAAATGTTCTTGCAAAGGATAACTAAAGGTGTAAACCCTACAGCTTCTGTTAAGAGCAACTCTCTTATAGTCTATTTCAAAACGGCACAGAGCATATTCGTAATTGTGTTTCAGTGCTGGAATAATTTCAGAATTTTCCATCTGAAGATTTTTGGCAATACTTGCTATAAAATTTGATTGTGGATCATGCCACACAAATTTAACTTTTTCATAAAATGGTGGAAATAAATCTAATTTAAAAATTCTATCAAATCTCATTGGCTTTTGCATAACTTCTTCGGCTGGACCAAGAATAACAAGATCTTTGCTTTTCAAGTCTTGTGTGTCTGAGTCTTCATTAACTGTTTTGTTACCAAATGAAAGATCATTACACATAAGTTCTTCAATAATTCTTGCAAAGGGATCATCTGCATCAAAAGATGAAGACAAATCTTCTTCATCTCCAAATGGTTTCACGCTTGCATAAACTTTAAATTCTTCTTTACTGTCATCAACAAAAGATAGATTTTGATTATCTTCCATGTACGCTGATGCTCCAAACCAGACATTTTCATAGGCCTTGTCATTATTAGGTTGTTTTATTTCTTTGGTGCTTCTGTTACTATTTTGGATTACTTCTGTCTGGGATTTTGATTTCATGTTTTTGCTGGATGAATCTTCAAAGGAGACCCAATTTTCCATTGCCTTTTTTAATCTTCTTGGAGGAAGAGGAATGATATTCTTATCAGATTCTTCAAGAACACTTTGTAAAGGTAAGTTGTTATTCTGAATATCTTCTATCCTATCATGGCTTTCATTTTTTACTTTGCTATCATTTGCCACTCTCCAACTTTCTGCATTCTTACTACAAGAGTCTTCTGTGTTGCTTGATCCATCTTCATCACATGTGCTGTTACCATTGTCTCCCTTTATACTACTTCCACAATGAATCTCATCATCAGTTTTGGTCACGTCTGCATCAATTTTTTCTTCACATGTCACCGAGTTATTTTTCATCTCAATTTTCAGTTGCAAGTTAGTTTGTACATTCTTGCAAATATTTTCAAAAGTTCTTGTATCTGAGCTGTCAACAATCCTTCGGGGCTCATTAATGGCTTTATCTTCATAGGTTTCTTGTGGGTATTTCTCTTCAAATTTAACACTGGTACTCTCTTCATTTCCCCTTGAATCCAATTCTCTCTCTGAAACATCAATCTTCAATATATGTTTGTTATGCACTGAACTGCATCCATTCCAGTCAAAGTCTTCAAACTTTGCCCATGATGAGCCCAAGAAACTTTTTGGAAGTGTTTGTGCATGGTCGTCCCTGATAGCACAAGTACAATGTTCGTTACTGGCCTTTTGGGATGGTTCGGAGGACCTACTTCCTATGGAATCTCGATCAGCTGTAAATGATGAAAAAATTCTGGCCTCTCTCTCCCTATTGATAAAATCAGCAAGTTGTGATGTATTTCCCTTAAGATGGTTTTCACTTTCCAGTGTTGTATTTAGTGTATTATCAACATGTGTTATCTCCTCCTGCATATTAATTAAAAGTGGATTGTGTAATAAATATTGTTTTTTTGTTTCACTTTTTGATGCTGAATTTTCATCTTTAGACAGAGTTAAAGAGATACTTTTATTCCTGTTACCAACTTTAGCAGATTTTTCCTTTGGTAAAACTTTGGCCTGAATGCCTTGTTTGTTTGTTTCTTTGGCACTTTTGGAAACTGTTGCCAGTGAGAGGTAATTTTTTGTATTTGTCTTTGTTGTCCTCTTCTCATTGACACTGGAATGATACAAATTCTTGGAAACTGGGGCAGATTTATTACTTACATTTGTTGAAGGAGGATTACTTTTCCTTAACTTTTCTTTTATACTGGAAAATGTCTTGCTTGTGGATGTTGTGGGAGTCTGAATACTGGCTTGACTTGGAAGGGAGAGGTTTTTGACACTGGTGCTGGGTAAAATGGAAACAGGTTTTTTAGATGTCCCTTTCAAAAGGGATTTAATTTTTCTTCGTGATGGATTGACACTATGTTCTCTGTTCTGAAAGCGTTCATATGTTATATTGCTAATTTCTGGGCTATCACTCCTTATAGGAGTAACTGTACTAAAGCTTTCAATTTTAGCTCTTTTACCAGTAGTATGTAATCCCTTGGAACTTGAGTACTTCTGTTTAGTTTGAAATTTTGTATTATCTTTGACAGATCTTACAGTAGCATCTGAGGTCACCTTAACCTTTGAAATTCCTCCTTGAGTTTGTAATGTTTGGCAACATCTTGTTTGACCCTCCAAAGGCGACGATTTAAGCTACAAAGGAAGAAAATAAGAGGAAAAAAAGAATCCAGAGATGAAATAATCATTAGAAGACAAAATACTATGACAAAAAATTAATAATCTACTGTACATAATTACCATATACTCTATGAGTGCTTATGAATTGCAAATTTATTTTTGCAAACACATTATATAGTTCAGCAACGACAAATGAAATATTATCTAACTACAGTATATCATATATGCCTTTTCCCACACATATATAATGAAACATGCAGGTATTTGAAAAAAAAACATTGTAGTTTCTAACTGCTGCAACACTGAGAAATGCATAAGGCCATACCTGAATGCTTAAAAGCATTTCGGCTGATAAAGGACGAACAAAGACGGCTTGGGTACAAATTATGCGAGTGTGGGAGGTCTGAATGAAACAATACATGAAGAAAATGCAAGATGCAGGAATGCAGGAAAAAAAGGAAGAAGAAAATTGAACTAACAGAGATCTCAAATTAAGGATAATGACCTAAGTGAAACAGATATATTTGAATGCAGGGATAATACAGATTAAGAATGTTTAGCAGATAGCTTTTCCCACTGTTATGTTTCCATGAGTGACTAAGAACACTTGATTTACCACCTTGAAGACTCTAATGTACAACGCAAAATATACTATTTCAAAAAATCTTTCAATATTCCTTAAAAGTTACAGAATCTATCAAAAAAATAATATACAATTGTGTATCTGAATTCCATATATAAAGTAGAAATAAAGCCATTCTCTAAGTAAAGCTTGTTAAACACTGATAATGCAGACATTAATAATGTAAGAATAGCCCAAGTCTTCATAATGAATGAAAAGTGAGGTGTCCACAGTACGTGGAATGTATCATGCTCATTGTAGGAGCTGTACGTGATAAAACACAATACATGTCAAAACAAAATGATAACACTTAGAAGCTCATACAGGGGGTTCTCAACTTATAAATTATGCTCCTGGTATTTCAACTTGCAAACAAGTTAGTGGTAACCAAGGACCTATTATTCTACAGAAAATGAAAGTATAAAGATTATCCTTTGTAACACACATGTTTGTAAGTGCAGATCAGCATTTATAAAATGATCTTTTTTTCCATACTCTTTCTTATGGACCTAGTTTGTAAGTGCAGATCATCATAACTTGAGTGTGTAAGTCAGAGACCCCCCTGTATAGATTTACATCATCATGTACAGCCATATATAAGCATAAGTTTTATTGTGCAATATCAGTTTTGTCAGTTGTAGTATAAATGCACTGCCACCACAAGTACCAGCTCACCTTTTTAACAGGACTTTGTCTCTCTCTCATCACGACCTGATCCCTTCGAGTAGGGGAGAGATCAAGGAGTCCAGGAACCTCCTGAACAATGGATTCCAGTCGAGAATCAACTGGGGACCCTTCCTGGGGCCCCGTGGTTGTCCCATTCCTAGACCCAGTCTGACCATCATAGAGACAGTTCCCAAAGTTAGATAAGCTAAGCATATGCTTTTTGTTAAGAGGGCCATGTAAAGAGTGTGCCCCGAAGTTCACCAACACTCAAACAAAGTAACTTTTGCCTTTATTAATTTAGTATGAAAACAGGCCACCACCAAGCACCCAAAAATCTAGTAAGTATTAATTTTAATAAAGAGATAAGGGGTGTATAAAAGTGATAAAATAATAAAAAAAGTATTTCACAAAGGCATTCCTGGTAAACTTGCAGCTCACTTATAATAATGTTAAATAATTAGATTACTGAGAGTGAGATAAAATAAAATTAAGAGTATCTAAATTCTATGGCAAGGCAGTTATAAACATATCAAAGTACTGACTGGAGACATACAGCACTCGACAAAATTAACTGAAATATATCTGTCAGAAAGTACATGGTACAAAATTATGCTAGCTCTTCTATCCAACTTATCAGCTGAAAACAATGTAGAAAACTAAAATTGCTAACTTGTTAAAGACACAAGTACAATATTCTCAGGATGTATAGTTACTGCACCTTGGTGTATGAGCATGTACCAGTACATATGTATGTACATATGTATGGATGCATGTATATACATATGTATGTATACATGTACATATCTTGTATGAGCACTCAAACAAGTGAAAAATCAGTAAAAGGGAAAAGCTACTAAATTCCCACCCCTTTTTCTGAGTGCAGACACTGACTTTTCCACCTTTAGGACTCATGTCCAACTAACTATGCTTTTCCCTGCATCCTTTCATAAATATACCTTGCTCACACTCCAACAGTACAATTATTAAAATATCATTTGTCTCCACTCTCAACTAACAGGCTCACACAAGCCTGCTGGATGCTCAAGTCCCTAGTATGCAAACTCTCTTTTCTAGGATGACCCCTACACCCCTCCTTTCACTCATGCTGTCATTTACGTACAAACATACATACATATATATATATAGTGTCACAGTCCAATTTCAAGCATCCCTTAGTAACTAAGCATTTAATCTATTCTCAGTTATTCTATATATTCTATATTTGTGATGCTACCTTTATTTACCTAGCTCCACTTAATGAGAAGGGTTGACTTTATGAAGGGTGTTTTTTAATACTGTATTTGCACGTGCCTACAGGTGTTTGAACAAGTTTTCAAAAAGCATGTGAAAAATTTTGCTGGATAACTCAGCATACTGATGTGGCTATCATGCATATGAAGTAATAATCATTTTCCTTATGATGAGAAACAATAGTTTGGAAAGATTAAGGATTTTTTAGCAAGGAAAAATAAGAAAAAGACAGAATGGAATAAGAAAGGGTAAAATGAGAATTCATAGTGTGGAAATTAGGTGTGGAGTTACTAAAAGTATTAGTCAGAGAGCTGAAGAGGGGTTGAATGGCTTGGTAACTTAGAGAGAATGGGACAAAGTAGAATGACTTGGAGGCATAAAAATCTGTAGGGAAAGGAAGGCAAGGTAGGGGTCATCCTCGAAAAGGTTGGAGGAATGGGGTAAAGGAAGTTCTTTGTGAGCAAGGGGCTTGGACTTCCAGCAAGCGTGTGTGAGTGTTAGAGAAGAGTGAATGGAGACGAATAGTATTTGGGACCTGATGAGCTGTTGGAGTGTAAGCAGGGTAATATTTTGTGAAGGGATTAAGGAAAAACTGGTTAGGCAGACGTGAGTCCTGGAAATGGTAAGTACAATGCTGCACTTTAAAGGAGGGGTTTGAGATAGTGGCAGTTTGGAGGGACATCTAAACTGTCGTATCTGAACGCCTCTGCAAAGACAGTGATTATGTATGAGTGATGGTGAAAGTGTTGAATGATAATGAAAGTTTTTTCTTTCTTTTCAGGTTTTTCTGTTTTACTTTTTGGGTTATCCTGCCTTGGTGGGGAAATGGCCAACATATTAAAAAATGAGAATTCACAGGAGCACAGTATTCAATAAAAGAGCATCATTAATGGAGAGAAAATGCAGTACTGCAGACCACAAAATTAGTACAGTGGACCCCCGATTAACGATATTTTTTCACTCCAGAAGTATGTTCAGGTGGCAGTACTGACCGAATTTGTTCCTATAAGGAATATTGTAAAGTAGATTAGTCCATTTCAGACCCCCCAAACATACACGTACAAACGCACTTATATAAATACACTTACATAATTGGTCGCATTGGGAGGTGATCGTTAAGCGGGGGTCTACTGTATTTACATTCATGCAGAAGAACTAAACCAGTAAGGGTTAAACAATGCCTAGGGAATGAGAGGTAATCCAGTTTGATTCAAGGAAGGGAAAGGTAGCTCCAATTCCTTAGATTGAGAGCCCTTCACTAATCGCAAGGCACCACCATTGAAGGGAGCTAAGGAAGAGAACATTCGTGTAAGCAAGGACAACTACTTTACTTGATCCACAACAATATTTCCAGATCAACTAGGGTTAATGGTCTTTTACATGTGTGTTCTCACACTTCAGACCAGTTTTGAGTTTTATTTATTCTCTCTCTTTTGCTTCAGTTTTTATAACATTTCTTCTTCTATACTCTTGCTGAGGCAATGTTCACCTATTCAGTCACTTATGTTAACATCTGATGCCCCCTTTTCTGCCATGAGCTGCTGTCATAAGCAGTTCACAGATAACCTGCACTTAGCAGAGGAATGTTATGGCAACATTGCAGTCTGTCCTGGACCACTGTCAAGTCTTAAGTGCGGTTATTTGTGAATAGTTCCAGCCACAGTATTTTTTTTTTTTACAGCATGCTGGTTGTTTCCCACAGAAGCAAGGTGACCCAAAAAAGAAAGAAACACTTTCATCATCATTCAACACTTTCACCAATATTCACACATAATCACTGTCTTCGTAGAGGTGCCCAGATACAACAGTTTAGATGTCACTCCAAACAGCCAATATCCCAAACCCCCTCCTTTAAAGTGCAGGTATTGTACTTCCCACCTCCATTGGCTGTTGTCAACTGTTGTAGCACAAACTGAAACATTTACTAAAGAATTTTACATGTCTGCAGTGAGAAGCAAGAATGGCTGAGAGAACTGATAAAATAAGCATGTACGAGCAAAAAAAGTAAAGGAAGGAAGGAAGATAAAAATACCCATAAAGAAGACAAAAGAAAACAGAATGGAATGCAAAAAAGAAAATGAAGCATTTAGTGTTGTAGCAAAGCAGATGTGGCCAACTGGAAAAACATTTATGATATAACCCCAGCATTTACCTTTACAAAAATACATTTAATTCTCAATAATAAAGCTTTGATGCTCTTAAGAGTTTTCAGAAGAAATAGGATAAGGGAAAAGAAAATACAGGAAAAGAAGGTAATATAACAACGATATTTCTACGTAAAAATTTTTGAACAGAAGAAAGTTTAGCTGGCTAAACTCATGACTATGACTGCTCAATTTTTTACTGTCATAGCATTGACATTGTGTTTTAAAAGAGAGCTCAAATATTTAAAATGTCACAGGTGATAGAACAGATTGAACATATAAAGACAATCTGGGCAATATTCCCAGCTAGCTGGTGACTAACCAGACACAGGTTAGTCACCAGCAAGAAAGGAAGCCTGAGGTGCCTTAGTTTGTCCTTGCTAACTACAAGCATGCTCAGGCCCTCAGATATGATAGGCCAATCAGATCAATTTGTGGAGAGTGAATGACAATACCTCTTTTAAAGTCAGTGCTCTGGATGGCTAAGAAAGTCTACTTGAAGTAACTGGTTAAGGCAAGGACTTAGGGAGAGAGCTTAGAGCAGCCTGCCTGTACTTATCCTCCCCAGCCAGTTGGATGAATGTACCTGTGAGTGGGTGCAGGTGTTGTTGCTTCTATCCAAAGAAGAGCATATGTCAATAATTGGATTCAGAGTAAGAAAGTGGAGTGAGTTGCAAGCAGAGGCTCTCAGGTTGTTGACTGTGAGGCAGCCAGTACATTCTAGCCATGTTGTATATATGAACAAGCAACTGAGTGAATTAGTGGCCCTTAGATAATGTCTGTGTAAATCAGGAGACCCTACATGATGTGTGTAAGAATCAGCAACACACCTTAGATGATGTTTGAGGGCTCCTAGACACAGATGTCAAGAGTCAAACAAGAGATTCTTGCAAACTGTTTCAGAGCACCTGATAACTGATGTATTGGTCCAGTCACAGTATTGTGCCTTTTTATTCTTTATGGGAAATAATGCTGTCAGTCACCATGCCCCAGGGACTGTGAGTACAGCATGAGAGAAGATGCCATGGAGAGTAGTAATGGTGCATCAAGATATTGCTGCTTCACTCCACAAGAATGATGGGATGCCCTTGACACATATTGAAAGAAAATTTCTCTTCCATTTCCTCAGTAGGAAGGCACAAACAGTAACAACTGAATCTATGCCTGAGAAAGACACTTTCCTTGAACACTACCTGCTACAGATAGAAAGATATATGAACCCAAGGAGGTGTTAGATGTGTAGTTACAGATAAATAAAGTTTAGTCATTACAAGGGAAAGACAATACCAGTCTAAGTATTGTGAAACAGTTAAGTGCCTCACTTCAGGGAGGAATATTTAGCCAATATTTTACTTCTGTACCCTTTTTAACTGAAAATAGTAGAAAACCATTTTATATGTGTATATATTAATTAAACAATCAAAAAAGATTTTACAGTATTTACCTTGAATGCTGATGCATTCTTGCTCACTGCCAGTGGATGTTTCTTGCTCATTTTAGACTGCAATACTCTACTCTTAAATCTATTGAACCAGCCATCACTTGCAATGAATTGTGGTTCATCATTAACACTATCTACTAATCGCATCTTTAAGTTATCTTAGAGGCTCAGGGCTTTTTCCTATATCAGCATAAAGGTAACAGGCCTTCTTTCCTTCTTTCATTTTCACTAATCAAACCAGGTGACTTTCAAAAGAAAGGGTGTGAGGGTTTTAATGTGCTCCAAGACACAGTCTTCATCCTCGATAAAAGTTGTAGGATTAGACCAATTTACACTACACACAAGGGAAATGTCAGTCAGTATTTCACTCTTTTCACTTTAGTATGCCTAGTTTCCTCTCAAAGGTCATAGTTCCTTTTCTATGGCACTTATGTATCAGTAACACAACTTATGCACTTTCAAACATGTTGCATGACTGTTATCCAAAGTAAAAGTCATAAAAATACTATGAGCACGAAAGGAAGCAAATAAAATGGTGGTGAAATGATTAATTCCCACCCTGCACTTCCCATTGTAATGAGTCACATTTGGAAAGGCAGAAACAAATTTTTAAGAAACTGAATTGGTTCCAAAATATCCTATTTGTAAGTGCAGATCTTTGTAGTTCTGCTATTTTTAAGCTGGGGACCCCTTGTATTATAAATTACATATATTATGGTGCTATGAAAGATGGTATTCACCTGAAAGAACTACAAGCCCTTCACTTTAAAAACCCTTTAAGGGACAGTAGGATGAAAGGGAGGAAATCTTGACACTGATGAAGGGCTCTTGATTCAAGGAATTGGAAATACTTTCCCCCTTTCTAGCACCACACTTAATTAACTCTCATTCCCTAAGTGTTGCATGATCCCTACATGTTTAGTGCTTCCCCATGAGTATAATAATAATTCACTTTATAGAAAGGTGTATGTGTCAGGAGCAGGTAGTAGGTTGGTAGACAGCAACCACCCAGGGAGGTACTACAGTTCTGCCAAGCGAGTGTAATACGGAAGCCTATAATTGTTTTATATGATGGTAAGATTGCTGGTGTCTTTTTCCTGTCTCATAATCATGCAAGATTTCAGGTATGTCTTGCTACTTCTACTTACACTTAAGTCACACTACACATGCATGTACAAGCATATATATATACAGTGGACCCCCGCATAACGATTACCTCCGAATGCGACCAATTATGTAAGTGTATTTAAGTAAGTGTGTTTGTACGTGTATGTTTGGGGGTCTGAAATGGACTAATCTACTTCACAATATTTCTTATGGGAACAAATTCGGTCAGTACTGGCACCTGAACATACTTCTGGAGTGAAAAAATATCGTTAACCGGGGATCCACTGTATATTTTTTTTTTTTTTTTCAACAAGTCGGTCGCCTCCCACCGAGGCAGGGTGACCCAAAAAAGAAAGAAAATCCCCAAAAAGAAAACACTTTCATCATCACTCAACACCTCCACCACACTCACACACCATCACTGCTTTTGCAGAGGTGCTCAGAATACAACAGTTTAGAAGCATATATGTATAAAGATACACAACATATCCCTCCAAACTGCCAATATCCCAAACCACTCCTTTAAAGTGCAGGCATTGTACTTCCCATTTCCAGGACTCAAGTCTGACTATATGAAAATAACCGGTTTCCCTGAATCCCTTCACTAAATATTACCCTGCTCACACTCCAACAGATCGTCAGGTCCCAAGTATCATTCGTCTCCATTCACTCCTATCTAACACGCTCATGCACGCTTGCTGGAAGTCCAAGCCCTCGCCCACAAAACCTCCTTTACCCCCTCTTTCCAACCCTTTCGAGGACGACCCCTACCCCTCTTTCCTTCCCCTATAGATTTATATGCTTTCCATGTCATTCTACTTTGATCCATTCTCTCTAAATGACCAAACCACCTCAACAACCCCTCTTCTGCCCTCTGACTAATGCTTTTATTAACTCCACACCTTCTCCTAATTTCCACACTCCGAATTTTCTGCATAATATTTACACCACACATTGCCCTTAGACAGGACATCTCCACTGCCTCCAACCGTCTCCTTGCTGCTGCATTTACCACCCAAGCTTCACATCCATATAAGAGTGTTGGTACTACTATACTTTCATACATTCCCTTCTTTGCCTCCATAGATAACGTTTTTTGACTCCACATATACCTCAACGCACCACTCACCTTTTTTCCCTCATCAATTCTATGATTAACCTCATCCTTCATAAATCCATCCGCCGACACGTCAACTCCCAAGTATCTGAAAACATTCACTTCTTCCATACTCCTCCTCCCCAATTTGATATCCAATTTTTCTTTATCTAAATCATTTGATACCTTCATCACCTTACTCTTTTCTATGTTCACTTTCAACTTTCTACCTTTACACACATTCTCAAACTCATCCACTAACCTTTGCAATTCTTCTTTAGAATCTCCCATAAGCACAGTATCATCAGCAAAAAGTAACTGTGTCAATTCCCATTTTGAATTTGATTCCCCATAATTTAATCCCACCCCTCTCCCGAACACCCTAGCATTTACTTCTTTTACAACCCCATCTATAAATATATTAAACAACCATGGTGACATTACACATCCCTGTCTAAGACCTACTTTTACCGGGAAGTATTCTCCCTCTCTTCTACACACCCTATATATATATATACACTCCTTTCTGGGTTTTCTTCTATTTTCTTACTAGTTCTTGCTCCTGTTTATTTCCTCTCATCTCCATGGGGAAGTGGAACAGAATTCTTCCTCCGTAAGCCATGTGTGTCATAAGAGGCAACTAACATGCCATGAGCATGGGGCTAGTAACCCCTTCTCCCGTATACATTACTAATGTAAAAACAAAACCTTTTGTTTTTCTTTTTGGGCCACCCTGCTTTGGTGGGATACAGCTGGTTTGTTGAAAGAAGAAGTGTGTTTCAGGGCATAAAATGAGAAAGGAAAGAGTAGCAACCTTGTTGTGGCAAGGTAGATTGTACTTGCACAACCATGAGTGTAGTCATGCCAAAGGTTGCAAAACCTTGACCAGTAAAGAACTGTATACAGAGACCACCTCCATTCTAAGTCAGGGAATGCTTGGTTAACACACAAAGCATTTTGAATGATTTTGTAATCACACTTGCTAAAAGGCTATAGATTATTAGATAAACTAAATAAAAACTGAGGGCTAGTGAAGTTCAGGTGTTGTTGTTAATAGACAGTGCTCCTGCTCACTAACACTAGCAACAGGTGATCATCTCAAACATAGAAAAAAAAACTGTGTTGTTTCTTAACATTTTTAGCTATTTTAATATTCTAAATGCTTAGAAGATATGAACGAACATAAGATCTGATAGTAAACTACAGATGATAGTGTGAAGTAATGAGATACTGAAGAGAGAAGTTTACTGATAAGTTGGAGCTAAAGAGATATAAGAGCCAGTGGAAAAACCTATTGAATATACAGTGGCACAAAGGCTACTTTGAGTGCTATACTGGCATATACAGTATTATAGCTGATATATTGGAGGTCAAGACACAGGTGAGTCGATGCACTATTTCAGGAAAAGTGATCTATATATTCTGAATAAAATTCTACAATATTTCAATTAAAACTCATCTAAATTAGAAAACACCATTAATGTACAAGCAAAATTGTTGCAAAACAAACAAGAACTCACCTCTTCACCTGTAGAAATAACTGAGGATCTAGGGGATAATGATTTTCTGTTCTCCTTATTGCAAGTATCTTCATTTTCATGACTACCATTAGGGCTGAAAAATATGTGTTAATTCAGTTACAGAGAGAATGTGTAAAGATCCTTCCCTCTTAAAGCATATATACATACTAAAATAAAAATGACTAAAATACCCCGTGGAAAGGGATGCTTACCCTTTATTCTGTAACTGATAACCAAACACACAGAGGAAAATGAATGTTTTTGCTTGTTTATTATAATCATTAAACTTTCACTTCTCCCTTCCTACATGATACAGTAATCATAAAGAGTACACTGTATATTAAAACAAACACAAGGATCATTTACAACACTTCAAAATCTAATCCTCCAGTATCTTAACTATACATGTTTTCTAGGCAAGAAGCTCTATTATGCTGCTAGAGTATTTTTTCAACATGATGGCTGTCTCCCACTGAGGCAAGGTGACCCAAAAAAGAAACACTTTCACCATCATTCACACATAATCACTGTCTTTAGAGAGGTGCCCAAATATAACAGTTTAGATAGCACTCCAAATAGCCACTATCCAAAACCCCTCCTTTAAAGTGCAGGCATTGTACTTCCCACCTCCAGGACTCGAGTCCAGCTAACTGGTTTTCCTGAATCCCTTCACAAAATATTACCGTGCTCACACTCCAACAGCTCATCAGGTCCCAAAAACCATTCATCTCTATACACTCCTATCTGTAGATGAATGGTTCAGAGAACCGACAAGTTGATAAATTAGACACATGTGCATCACTTGGGTATCTTTAATGAGGAAATGTTTTGCCACACAGTGGCTTCATCAGTCCATACAACAGTCCATCTAACATGGTCACACATGCCTGCTGCATGTCCAGGCCCCTTGCACACAAATCATCTTTTACCCTGTCCTCCATCCTTTCCTAGGATGACCCCTACCCCTCCTCCCCTCCACTATAGATTTATACACCTTCCAAGTCAACCTATTTTGCTCCATCCTCTCTAAATGACAAAACCACCTCAATAACCCTTCTTCAGCCCTCTGAATAATACTTTCGGTAACTCCATACCTCCTCCTAATTTCCACACTACGAATTCTTTGCATAATACAGCCATGGCCTGGTGACAAATACCATAAAACTAGTGTAAATAAGTTGTGAAAGAATATAACTATTGCTAAACCTTAACCCCTTCAGGGTCCAGACCCCCAATCTGAAACTTATCCACAGGGTCCAAGAATTTTCAAAAAAATTTTTTGCTCTTTTTTCTTATGAAATGGTAGAGAAGCTTTCTCCAAGGGTAATAAACAAAAAGTATAAAATTTGATGGAAAACTGATGAAAGTTTGCTACTGTGAATTTTGCTGTGTCAGTGATATTTATGCATCAGCGATTTTGCCCAATTTGACTCCTATTTTAGGACAATTGTATTGTTCCAGTTAACCAAATTATTAGCTATTTCGCTAGAATGCCCTCCATTTTACTGACTGAGCATGAGAATCTACCCAGTCATCTATTTCAACTACCCAATAAAGTGATCAGAAATTGGTAATTTGGCCAATTTCACACAAATTTCAAAATACAGCCTCTCCTCACTTAGCGATGTACTTGTTTACCAACCACTCAGACTTACAACCAGCTCTCCAACCAGCATGCAAACCTAAATAATGTATATTAGAGCTGATTTCCTCTATTCTGTTTATTACAATATACAGTACACTAATGTATAAAACATTTAAAAATATACCAGAAATGTTATAAATAGTACAAAGGCAACATTAAAAAAATATCTGAAGATGGTTGATACAAACCCACTACCAGTACAGTATGCTCCTCACTTAATGACCAATTTGCTTACCAACCTACTACTAGGAACGGAACCCCGTCGTTAAGTGATGAGAGGCTGTACGTATTTCAATTTCAAAATAGGGTTCAGAATAAACAATGCAGACATTCCTGGCATTAAAATAACATTTTTCTCTGTTCATTAGTTATGTTCCCAGGCTTTACACATGAATTTCATTTTGATTTCTTATTCACAAATAATTTTTATTCACACCAAAAAACAGAAGATTTACTGTTATGAAATATTCTAATAATTGTATAAATAACATTAGGCATTTGTGAACACATATTAGACCCACCAATTGATGTGTATTGGATGCCTGATGTGATTCATTTACTCTTGAACATCAACAAAAATCACATTTCCACTAATTTGACCTCACTTTCATGCTATCTTCAGTCCTAAAACTGATCAAAAAAATATCTAATTCTATAATATATCTCCCATTCTATCAAATGAGACCAAGAAACTGTGAATACAACCATAAAAAAATGTACAAAAATACCCCGCAAAGTCACTATTTTAAGCCAAAAACACAGTTGCAGTTTTTTCTCAGTATGCACTGTGTGCTGCAGGATTTTTTTTTATATTGTGCACACTTACTGCATAGACCCATTCTCTCATATCTAGGCCCAAATTTACCACTCACAGCTTATCTGAGTGAGCTGAGCTTATGGTGTAGAACTACAACACTGACACTGGCTTCAAAGCCATAGAACTACAACATGGACTCTCAGGGGTTAAAGAACACTACGAACACATTTTAGTCATATTTTTTGAAGAATAATGAACACAAAAATATTATGATGTAGGTGACATTGCTGAGTGATGTAAAGTCAGACAAAATGACATTCGCTGAACTGAAATTTGCTCTTTAAAAGTGGCATTAAGGTGAATTTGACGGAGGTCAAAATGACATAAGGCAGGGTATGACTGTATTTACACTACACACTGCCCTCAGACACTACATCCCCACTTTACCATTGATAAATTCAAGTCTCACTACTCTTGGAGCCCAGCCATGGACCAGGCTTGTCTGGTGCTTGCCTGGTCAACCAGGTTGCTGCTGCTGGAGGCCTGCTGCCCCACATATCTATCATGGCCTGGCTGACCTGGCACCTGGTGAAGATACTTGTCCAGTTTCCTCTTGAAGGTTGAAGGCTTCTACACTTGTTCCAGCTGTGTTTCTGATATCTTCTGGTAAGAGGTTGAAAAGTCTGGGGCCACAAATGTTGATACAGTGTTCCCTTGTTGTCCCTCTGTACCCCTGTTCCTCACAGGGTTTATTTTGCACTTCCTCCCATATCTCTCATTCTAGTATGCTGTTATGGCAGTGTGCCTCCAGCCTCTTTCTTGCTACAGCATTCACAGCCCATGCTTCACACCCATATAAGTGTTGGTAACACTATACTCTGGTACATTCCTTTCTTTGCCTCCATGGATAACGTTATTTTGTCTCCACAGATACCTCAATGCACCACTCACCTTTTTTCCTTCATCAATTCTATGGTTAATCTTGTCCTTCATAAACCCATCTGCTAACAAATTCTACTCCCAAATGTCTGAATACATTCACTTCTTCCATACTCCCTCCCTCCTAAGTGATATCCAATTCTTCTTTACCTAACTCATTTGAGGCCCTCATCACCTTACTCTTATCTATGTTCACTTTCAACTTTGTATCTTTACACACCCTCCCAAACTCGACCACTAACTTTTGCAGCTTCTCTTTAGAGCCTCCCAAAAGCACAGTATCATCAGCAAAAATTAATTGTCAACTCCCATTTTGTATTTAATTCACCTTAATTTAATCCCACGCCTCTCCCCAACACCCTAGCATTTACTCCATTTATAAATATCTTAAGCAATCATGGTAACATTACACATCCCTGTCTAAGACCTACTTTTACTGGGAATTAATCTCCCTCTCTCCTATGCACCCTAACCTGAGCCTCACTATCCTCATAAAAACTCTTTAAATCATTTAGTAACTTACTACCTATTCCTTTCACTTGTAACATCTGTCACATTGCACCCCTATCCACCCTATCATATGAATTTTCTAAATCCATAAATGCAATGAAAACATCCCTACCTTTATATGTTTCAATGTTAACACTTGATCCACACATCCCTTACCCATTCTAAAGCCTCCTTGTTCATCTGCAATCCTGCTCACTATCAATACTATATTCGCAGCACTCGCCAAGATTACTAAGTAAATAACATATTGAGTTCACTTCTTTATAATGTACTAAAGCATACAAAGAAATATGGGGTTGTGTTGGTTTTATTAACCTGTTTGGTCGGTGTTCCTGAGTTGCAGCTGGAGCAGTGACATCCTCCTCATCATCCGAGGCAAATGGATCTACAAGCTGCTTATGAGTCATCAGTACAGGACGCTCACCACTGCTGCTGTTGCTGCTCAATGATGCCTGTCACAGTCAACTTTGATTTACTATAAATAAACAACATTATTTATTATTTTTTTATCACATCGGTCATCTCCCACCGAGGCAGGGTGACCCAAAAAGAAAATACTTTCATCATCATTCACCACTTTCACCTCACTCATACATAATCACTGTCTCTGCAGAGGCGCTCAGATACGACAATTCAGAAGTCCTTACAAAATCGCCAATATCCCAAACCCCTCCTTTAAAGTGCAGGCACTGTACTTCCCATTTCCAGGACTTGAGTCCGGCTAACCAGTTTCCTAAATCCCTTCACTAAATATTACCCTGCTCACACTCCAACAGCTAGTCAGGTCCCAAAAACCATTCATCTCCATTCACTCTTCTCTAACACGCTCACACATGCTTGCTTGAAGTCCAAGCCCCTCACCCACAAAACCTTTACCCCTCTCCCTCCAACCTTTTCCTGGACAACCCCTACCCTGCCTTTCTTTCCCTACAGATTTATATGCTCTCCATTCTCTCTAAATGACCAAACCACCTCAACAACCCCTCTTCAGCCCTGTGACTAATACTTTTAGTAACTCCAAACCTGATTTTCACACTCCGAATTCTCTGTATAATATTTACACCAAACATTGCCCTTAGACAGGACATCTCCACTGCCTCCAGCCGCCTCCTCGCTGCAGCATTTGCAACCCAAGCTTCACACTCATATAAGCGTGTTGGTACCACTATACTTTTGTACATTCCCTTCTTTGCCTACAGGGATAATGTGTTTTGTCTCCACAGATACCTCAACGCACCGATTACCTTTTTTTCTCCATCACTTCTATGGTTAACCTCGTCCTTCATAAACCCATGTAAATATATTAATTTAATATGCATATCATACATATAAAACTTTGCATCTGTTTGTTTACTATAATTATCTGTTTATGGTTACATTAGTTTAATATCATCCCTATCACCCTTTTTAATATATCAGCACAATGTTGAATATTGTTTCCACTTGCTTTCCAACAAATAGTATACTTATATGTAATTTAACCCTTAGACAGTCGAGACCCCTGCTCGCAAACTTGCTCTCAGTGTCGAAGAGTTTAAAAAAAAAAAAATTCTTATGAAATGACAGAGAATCCTTTCCCAATGGTAATGACACCAAAAGTACGAAATTTGATCAAAAACTTAGGGAATTACACTCTTGCAAAGTTAGCGATCTCGGCGATATTTATGCATCGACGATTTCGCCCAATTTGAGCCCTATTTTCGGCTAATTCCATTGCTCCAGTCAACCAAACTCATAGCTATTTCTTTAGAATTCCATTTGTTCTATCAACTGAGTACAAGAAACCGCCCATTTACCGATTTCAACTACCCAATAAAGTGGTCAGAAATTGGCAATTTGGCCAATTTCACGCAAATTAAAAAAGATGCCAATTTCAAAATAGGGTCCAGAATAAGCAATGCAGACATTCCTGGCACTAAAATAACATTTTCTCTGTTCATCAGTCATGTCTCCAGGCCCCTCTTATATTACTCTTGCTTTCTATTTTGAATTTTTATTCACACAAAAAACAGAAGATTTACTGTTATGCAGACTACTTCATTATTGTAATAATTGTGTAAATAATGTCAATCCATTCATGACTGCGTATTAGAATGGCTAGTTAGACACTTACTGGACAAAGACATCATTTGTTTACTCTTGAACATCTGCAAAAATCGAACATTTCCACTACTTTGAGCTCAATTTCAAGGTCCTTTTCATTGCGAAACCAATCAAAATCTTCTCTATTTCTGTAATATGTCTTCCATTCTATCAAATGAGACCAAGAAAACGAGAATACAATCATAAATACTATATGAAAATGCACCCAAAATTCGGCATTTTAATCCAAAAACAAGGTCGGATTTTTTTTCTCATTATGCACTGCGTGCTGCAGGATTTTTTATACTGCACACACTGACCACACAGACCCATTCTCTCACATGTGGGCCTACCAGCTTTCTCCCACTTGATTTGAAGCTGCTAGAATTTTGGAGTATAAATACGTCAAAAACACTGGCTCGTAAGACGTACATGTACGTCAGAAACAGTCAAAGGGTTAAAGGGTCTTACTAATCATATTTTTTATATATTGGCACAATGTTGGTCATTTATCACCCCAATATAACACACTCACACATACCTGTTGATTGTTCATGGTCCTACCCCTGTATGACTCTTGTGGGAAGTCTCCTTCAGAAACTTTTTCAAACCCTTCCTGGGATGACCTCCTTCATTCTATCCCAAACTCGTACACCCTCTTGGTCATCCTACTCTGCTCCATCATCTCTAAATGCCCAAGACACCGCAACAGCCCTTCATATACCCTTTGAATAGTATCTTCCATAAATGCACACCTAATTTCTATGCTCTAAATACTCCAAATTCTTTGCATAATAATCACACTATTCACTGCTCTCAACTATGACATCTCTGCTGCCTCCAACCTTTTCCTTACTGCAATCTTTAAAGCAAATGCCTCACACCATATAAAAGAGTTAGTGCCCATATATTCTGGTGCATTCTTCTTACTGCCTCCATAGGTAAACTTTTTTCTCTCCACAGATGTCACAACACTACACTTACCTTTTTTCTTTCATTCATTCTATGGTTCACCTCAGTTCCCTACCAAATATTTAAATACTTTCACTTCCTTCATTTAATATCCATTTTTTTCATTACCTAAATGTTGCTACTCTCATAACTTTCCTCTTTTCTGGATTTAAAACTTCCTCCTTTTACACACCCTTTCAAACCGTTATTAATATGCTGACAAAAATATCTTCATTTTCTTCAAGAAATTTAAATGGATAATATTCCAGCTGTCTTAGTATCACTAGATAAGAATAACAAAGTCAAGCTTCCTTACTACTGATATTCTGTAACCAATGATTTAACCTTCAACTTCTAAAATGGAAATGAAATTTGCAGTCAATATCATAATCATACCTTATTATTATATTAACACATCAGCTGTTTCCCACAAAGGTAGGGTGGCCCGAAAAAAGGAAAACTTTCACCATCATTCATTTCATTACTGTCTTGCCAGAGGTGCACTTACACTACAGTTGTAAAACTGCAACATTAACACCCCTCCTTCAGAGTGCAGACACTGTACTATCCATCTCCAGGACTCATGTCCTGCCTGCTGGTTTCCCTGATTCCCTTCATTAATATTACCCTGCTCACACTCCAACAGCATGTCAAGTCCTAAAAACCATTTGTCTCTATTCGCTCCTATCTAACACGTTCATGCATGCTTGCTGGAAGTCCAAGCCCTTGCACGCAAAACTACTTTTACCCCCTCCTTCCAATTTATACACTCTCAATGTCATTCTATTTTGTTCCCTCCCCTCTACATGTCCGAACCACCTCAACAACCCCTCCTCAGCCCACTGGATTATGATTACTAATATTTACAGTAGAACCCCAGTATCCACGGATTTGGTATTTACAGTTTCAGTTGTCCACTGTTTACCATGACCCAGAAATAACCTTATTTTAGCTAAATAAATGATAACAAAGTGCAAAAGTAGTGATGCTGGCAGTTCTTCAAAGCCCAAGAGAAGCTGGAAGTGCTTCCCATCAGTAAAAAAAAAAAGTGCTAATTCTAGACTTATTTTGTATGATTTATCTATTAAACTTTATCATAGGAATGTATATAGGCGAAAACTGAATCGTATACAGTGGATCCTCTACTTACGAATTTAATCCATTCCGTGACCTTGCTCGCACCTGGATTTGCTCGTTTGCAGAGTTAATTTTTCTCATTTAAAGTAAATGAAATGGAATTAATTCGTTCCAGTGGAATTCCAGGCACAACAAAATACGTCAATAATTTCCCTAATATCAACTCTACGGCTTATTTATCTACCACAATTCATCTAATATGACATATTAAACAATATTATAAACATAGAAACATAATAAACAATATTATTAACATAGAAACACTAGAATGAATAAAATACATGTCATTATGTATTTGGCTAGTGGTGATGACAGCGGCCATTGTTGGGGTTTATAGGGCCACCACAGTGGCCATTCCTGCTCCTGACTACATGTGTAAAGAACGTAGGATAACCCAAAAAAGTCAGAGTGACTTATAACTGCTGCACTCTTAATGCTACATGTTTAATGCTACACACTTAATGCTACACGCTTAATGCTACACGCTTAATGCTACACGCTTAATGCTACATGCTTAATGCTATACACTTAATGCTACATGCTTAATGCTACATGCTTAATGCTACACTTAACTGCTACACTTTGTCACTGATGCCTGCTTTAGTATTGTACATATCATAGAAGTGGTACAATGGTACTACCTGGCCAAGTCATTAGCCCTCCACCTAGTTTGTTTATCTATGATTTCCTGCTTTAAGTCCATGGAAATCATCCTCTTTTTCTTCTCAGCACTGTCCTTTGCACTTGCTTTCTTAGGACCCATGGTTAGAAACAAGAAATTTTGTGAAATAACTTCATGAAATGTAAGGAAAACATGAGAATTCTCTCCACCGCAAGTGGAGTGGACTGAGCACTGTTTTGATACAAACTGCAATCTCATGTGCTGTATAGTCCTTGTGGCTTAGCGCTTCTTTTCTGATTATAATAATAATAATAATGCAATCTCATGGTGGTGTTCAGAAACTTACTTATAGTATAGGGTACAACAAGGTCTGCCACTGCTGCTTTATGTTGTCTGCCACTGCTGCTTTATGTTGTCTGCCACTACTGCTTTATGTTGTCTGCCACTGCTGCTTCATGCTGTCTACCACTGCTGCTTCATGTTATCTGCCACTGCTGCTTCATGTTGTCTGCCACTGCTGCTTCATGTTGTCTGCCACTGTTGCTTCATGTTGTCTGCCACTGCTGCTTCATGTTGTCTGCCACTGTTGCTTCATGTTGTCTGCCACTGCTGCTTCATGTTGTCTGCCACTGTTGCTTCATGTTGTCTACCACTGCTGCTTCATGTTGTCTGCCACTGCTGCTTCATGTTGTCTGCCACTGTTGCTTCATGTTGTCTGCCACTGCTGCTTCATGTTGTCTGCCACTGCTGCTTCATGTTGTCTGCCACTGCTGCTTCATGTTGTCTGCCACTGCTGCTTCATGTTGTCTGCCACTGTTGCTTCATGTTGTCTGCCACTGCTGCTTCATGTTGTCTGCCACTGCTGCTTCATGTTGTCTGCCACTGCTACCTATGTCTGTCACTGCTGCTTCATGTTGTCTGCCACTGCTACCTCATGATGTCTGCTCCCAATTTTCCTAGCATGATGAAGAGCTTTCCAATATATGAAGGTTGTGCGGCAGTGACAATTGGACAGGTATTGGATGGTGACGTCATTTGTTTACTCTTGAACATCGCCAAAGAATTGAACATTTCTACTACTATGAGCTCAATTTCGAGGTACTTTTCGTTGTAAAACCAATCAAAACCATATCTATTTCTGTATTATATCTTCCATTCTATCAAATGAGACCAAAAAAACGAGAATACATCCATAAAAGCCATACGAAAATATACCACTAAGGGGAGGCTAATTGCTGAGAAGTGAGCTCCATTATTTATGGTCCAATTTCTTTCATTTTTGGTGTACCTAAAGAAGCATCTTTCCATCATACATTGTCAAAGTTTGAATAAGATAGTCCAACAGACAACTGAGATCCAATTCCCTAGATCAAGAGCAAGAACCCCTCACAAGTATCAAGGAACCTCCCTTGAGGCCCGCTCGTATCTGGAAATTTTGCTCGCGTCTGGAAGCAAAAAATCGACTAAGCGACTCCTCATATCCGGAAAAACTCACACGTGGATGCACTCGTAAGCAGAGGTTCCACTAGTATAAGGTTTGCTACTATCCACGGTAGTTCTTAGAATGTATCCCCCTCAGATATGGGGGACTACTGTATTTTATTATTAATATTATGTTCACCAGAAAATACTAAATCATAATAGATTTTACAGCACTAATATATTTAAAATATAATCTCATAAGAACAAATTTATTGAAAGGACTTACAGTAGAGTTTCTGTTTTCTGTTCTAGCAAGTTTTTCACGTGTGGGCGACAGAACTTTAGTACCAATTTTGAAAATCTCCGAAGTAATGGATTTTGACGATGCTAAGAGCCGCTCTTTTGCTGATGGTGTAGTGGAAACATTGCTTCCATCTTTCTCTGGGCCATAGTCTCCACTTTTTCTTTTGCTTGAACTAGTAGTATTGGACCTGCAATATAAAAGAATATTATGTACAGTACTTTCTTTAACACACCAGCTGTCTCCCACTGAGGTAGGGTGATCCGCTAAAGAGGAAATACTTAGACCATCTTTCATTCAATCATTGATCTGCCAGAAACATGCTGACATCACAATACAGATGGCCCTCCAAATTGCAACATCCTCTGTCAAAATGCAGGCACAGTATTTCTTACCTCCAGAACTGCAACATCCTCACCCCTCCTTCAAAGTGAAGGCATTGTATTTTTCACCTCAAAGACTCAAGGCCAGCTAATCAAATTTACCCAAATATTTTCATCAGTTCTTCTTTTATCAGCGGATGGATTTATGAAGGATGAGGTTAATCATAGAACTGATGAAGGAAAAAAGGTGAGTGGTGCATTGAGGTATATGTGGAGGCAAAAAATATTATCTATGGAGGCAAAGAAGGGAATGTATGAAAGTATAGTAGTACCAACACTCTTATATGGGTGTGAAGCTTGGGTTGTAAATGCTGCAGCAAGGAGGTGGTTGGAGGCAGTGGAGATGTCCTGTCTAAGAGCAATGTGTGGTGTAAATATTATGCAGAAAATTCGAAGTGTGGAAATTAGGAGAAGGTGTGGAGTTAATAAAAGTATTAGTAAGAGGGCTGAAGAAGGTTTGTTGAGGTGGTTTGGTCATTTAGAGAGAATGGATCAAAGTAGAATGACATGGAGAGCGTATAAATCAGTAGGGGAAGGAAGGCGGGGTAGGGGTCGTCATCGAAAAGGTTGGAGGGAAGGGGTAAAGGAGGTGTTGTGGGCGAGGGGTTTGGACTTCCAGCAAGCGTGCGTGAGCGTGTTAGATAGGAGCAAATGGGGACAAATGGTATTTGGGACCTGACGATCTGTTGGAGTGTGAGCAGGGTAATATTTAGTGAAGGGATTCAGGAAAACCGGTTATTTTATATAACCAGACTTGAGTCCTGGAAATGGGAAGTACAATGCCTGCACTCTAAAGGAGGGGTTTGGGATATTGGCAGTTTGGAGAGATATATTGTGTATTTTTATACGTATATACTTCTAAGCTGTTGTATTCTGGGCACCTCTGCAAAAACAGTGATTATGTGTGAGTGAGGTGAAAGTGTTGAATGATGAAAGTATTTTCTTTTTGGGGATTTTCTTTCTCTTTGAGTCACCCTGACTCGGTGGGAGATGGCCGACTTGTTGGAAAAAAAAAAAAAAAATTTCATCAGTGCTATCTTGTTCACACACCAACAGTACATCAAGTCATAACAACCATTTGCCTCCAAATACAATAAAATTTCTTGCATTTTAAGTTGAAAAGTGCATAATATTTCTAGCATTTAAGATAGAATACATAGTTCTGTACTAATATGTATTCTCTAACTTAAAGCATAAGGCAATTTGTATTTGGGGGTAAGATTATAAGATTATTATTTTATATGTCTTTGATGGCATAGTCCCTCTCAAATTATTCTTTCCGTGAGGAAAATAAGACAGCTGTCCCATTATTAACTGTTGAAGGTTAATTTAACAGGATAACTCAAAAATCCAAGTGGTGTGACTTATTCTGTTTGAGGTATATAGGTCTTCTTCCCTAGGATGCAACCAACAACAGTCAGGTAACTCATAGATACCTATTTACTTCTAGGTGCATGGAGGCTGCAGGTGTAAGAAGATATGTTCATATGTCCTGACACAGTATGTAAGACTGTCTTCACTGGGGAGTAACCTACTTTATTCTCCCCATTCAAACTGAGTATCCCTTTCTTCCTTTTATTAAAAAATACACTTATCCCTTGTTCCCTCTTATTAACCCTTTCACTGTCCTTAAAAACATAAGAAAGGAAGATCACTGCAGCAGGCCTGTTGGCCCATACTAGGCAGGTCCTTTACAATCCATCCCACTAACAAAACATTTGCCCAACCCAATTTTTAATGCTACCCAAGAAATAAGCTCTGATAACTCTTGAGTCCTGGAAATGGGAAGTACAATGCCTGCACTTTAAAGGAGGGGTTTGGGATATTGGCAGTTTGGAGGGATATGTTGTGTATCTCTATACGTATATGCTTCTAAACTGTTATGCTCTGAGCACCTCTGCAAAAGCAGTGATAATGTGTGATTGTGGTGAAAGTGTTGAATGATGATGAAAGTATTTTCTTTTTGGGGATTTTCTTTCTTTTTTTGGGTCACCCTGCCTCGGTGGGAGACGACCGACTTGTTGAAAAAAAAAAAAAAAAAAAAAAACTCTATCCACTCATTTGTAAGTCCCACTCAAATCCAACCCCTCTCACTCATATTTATCCAACCTAAATTTGAAACTACCCAAAGTCCTAGCCTCAATAGCCCAACTAGGTAGACTGTTCCATTCGTCAACTACCCTATTTCCAAACCAATACTTTCCTATGTCCTTTCTAAATCTAAACTTGTCTAATTTAAATCCATTACTCCGGGTTCTCTCTTGGAGAGATATCCTCAACACCTTATTAATGTTCCCTTTATTAATACCCACCTTCCACTTATACACTTTGATCATGTCTCCCCTCATTCTTCGTCTAACAAGTGAATGTAATTTAAGAGTCTTCAATCTTTCTTCATAAGGAAGATTTCTAATGCTATGTATTAATTTAGTCATTCTACGCTGAATGTTTTCTAACGAATTTATGTCCATTCTGTAATATAGAGACCAGAAATGAGCTGCATAATCTAGGTGAGGCCTTACTAATTTTGTAGGTATAGAGCTGCAGTATAACCTCTGGACTTCTGTTGCTTACACTTCTTGATATAAATCCCAATAATCTACAGTGGACCCCCGGTTAACGATATTTTTTCACTCCAGAAGTATGTTCAGGTGCCAGTACTGACCGAATCTGCTCCCATAAGAAATATTGTGAAGTAGATTAGTCCATTTCAGACCCCCAAACATACACGTACAAACGCACTTACATAAATACACTTACATAATTGGTCGCATTCGGAAGTAATCATTATGCGGGGGTCCACTGTATTTGCCTTATTACGTACACTTAGGCATTGCTGTCTTGGTTTAAGGTTGCTGCTCATCATAACCCCCAAGTCCTTTTTGCAATCTTTATGGCTGGTCCACTGTATTTGCCTTATTACGTACGCTTAGGCATTGCTGTCTTGGTTTAAGGTTGCTGCTCATCATAACCCCCAAGACCTTTTTGCAATCTTTATGGCTAAGTTCTACATTATTTAACTTATAAGTGCTAGGGTTATGGACACTCCCGAGCTTTAGAACCTTGCATTTATCTACATTAAACTGCATCTGCCACTTTTCTGACCAAGAATAGAGTTTGTCTAAATCCTCCTGAAGTTCCCTGATATCTATGTTTGAATCAATTATCCTACCTATCTTTGTGTCATCGGCGAATTTGCCCATTTCACTAGTAATTCCCTCATCAAGATCATTGATATATATTATAAATAACAACAGGCCCAAGACTGATCCTTGTGGAATGCCACTTGTTACAGATCCCCACTTAGATTTAACCCCATTTATGGACACACTCTGCTTCCTGTCTGTGACCCATGACTCGATCCATGAGAGCACTTTTCCCCCAATGCCATGAGCTGCCACTTTCTTTAACAGTCTTCGGTGCAGAACTCTATCAAAAGCCTAACTAAAATCTAAGTAAATAATATCAAATTCTTTATTGTGATCAAAAGCTTCACTGAAGAAAATGAATAAATTAGTTAGAGAAGAACCTGTCCACAATGTCCAAGAATTTAAAAAAAAAAATTATTTTTTCTTATGAAATGGTAGAGAATCTTTTTTTTTCTGAAGGTAATAAATGCAGCAGCGAGGAGACGGTTGGAGGCAGTGGAGATGTCATGTCTAAGGCCAGTGTGTGGTGTAAATATTATGCAGAAAATTCGGAGTGTGAAAATTAGAAGGTGTGGAGTAATAAAAGCATTAGTCAGAGGGCAGAAGAGGGGTTGTTGAGGTGGTTTGGTCATTTAGAGAGAATGGATCAAAGTAGAATGACATGGAAAGCATATAAATCTATAGGGGAAGGAAGGAGGGGTAGGGGTCGTCCTCGAAAGGGTTGGAAAGAGGGGGTAAAGGAGGTTTTGTGGGCGAGGGGCTTGGACTTCCAGCAAGCGTGCATGAGCGTGTTAGATAGGAGTGAATGGAGATGAATGATACTTGGGACCTGACGATCTGTTGGAGTGTGAGCAGGGTAATATTTAGTGAAGGGATTCAGGGAAACCGGTTATTTTCATATAGTCGGACTTGAGTACTGGAAATGGGAAGTACAATGCCTGCACTTTAAAGGAGGGGTTTGGGATATTGGCAGTTTGGAGGGATATGTTGTGTATCTTTATACGTATATGCTTCTAAACTGTTGTATTCTGAGCACCTCTGCAAAAACAGTGACAATGTGTGAGTGTGGTGAAAGTGTTGAATGATGATGAAAGTATTTTCTTTTTGGGGATTTTCTTTCTTTTTTGGGTCACCCTGCCTCGGTGGGAGACGGCCGACTTGTTAAAAAAAAAATAAAAAATAACAAAGTATGAAATTTGATGGAAAACTGAAAATTATGCTTTCGAGAATTCTGCTGCATCAGCGATGTTTATACATCGGTGATTTTGGCCACTTTGAGTCATATTTTAGGCCAATTACATTGTTCCAGTTGACCAAATTCTTAGCTATTTCACTAATATGTCTTCCATTTTATCGACTGAGCACAAGAAATTGCCCAATCAACTATTTCAACTATCTAATAGTGATGAGAAACTGGTAACTTGGCCAATTTCACACATATTTCAAAATATGTCAGTTTCAAAAAAAGGGTTCAGAATAAACAATGCATGCATTCCTGGCACTAAAATAACATTTCCTCTATTCAGTAGTTACATTCCCAGGCTTTACACATGAATTCCATTTTGATTTTTTATTCATACAAAAAATAGATTTACTGTTATGCAATAATGTAATAGTAATAATATAAATAATATCAGCACTTTTGTGAATGCATATTAGACCCACCAGTTGGATGTGTATTAGATGAGACATGATTTGTTTACTCTTGAATATCATTAAAAATCAAACATTTCTGCTATTTTGAGCTTAATTTCAAGCTATTTTCAATCCTGAAAGTAATCAAAATCATCTCTGTCTGTAATATGTCTTCCATTCTATCAAATGAGACCAAGAAACTGAGAATATATTCATAAAAACTATACAAAAATGTACAGCGAATTTGCTGTTTTAAACCAAAAACACTGAAGCCATTTTTTTCCTCACGCACTGTGTGGCACAGGATTTTTTTTTTTATATGGTGCACATTTATTACACAGACCCATTCTCTCATATCTATACCCAAATTTACCACTCACAGCATATCTGAGCGAGCTGAGCTCATGGCATATTACTATGGCATTGACAGTGACCTCAAAGTCATAGTACTACAGCACAGTCAGTGAAAGGGTTAAAGACTGCACCTATCCCTTGCTCCCTCTTATTAAAGACTGTACCAATCCCTTGCTGCCTTTTATTAAAGACTGCACCTATCCCTTGCTCCTTCCTATTAAAGACTGCACCTATCATTTGCTCCTTCCTATTAAAGACTGCATCTATTCCCTGCTCCCACTTCAACAAGGTCTCCTACATTAAGCTCTCTCACTTGTACACACAATTTTTTTTTAACATGTTGACTGTCTCCCACCGAGGCAGAGTGACCCAAAAAAGAAACACTTTCACCCTCATTCAACACATTCACCGTCATTCACACTTAATCATTGTTTTTGCAGAGGGACTCAGGTATGACAGTTTAGATGTCACTCCAAACAGCAAATATCCCAAATCTCTCCTTTAAAGTGCAGGTATTGTACTTCCCACCTCCAGGACTCAAGTCTGGCTAACTGGTTTTCCTGAATCCCTTCACAAAATATTATCCTGCTCACACTCCAACAGCTCGTCAAGTCCCAAAAACCATTCATCTCTATTCACTCCTATCTAACATGTTCACACATGTCTGTTGTTATGTCCAACCCCCTTGCACATAAAACCTCTTTTACCCCTCCCTCCATCCTTTCCTAAAATGACACCTACCCCTCCTCTACAGATTTATACACCCTCCAAGTCATCCTATTTTGCTCTGTCCTCTTTAAATGACCAAACCATCTCAATAACCCCTCCTCAGCCCTCTGAATAATACTTTTAATAACTCCACACTTCCTAATTTCCACACTACAAATTTTCTGCATAATATTTGTACCACACATTACCCTTAGACACAACATCTCTACTGCCTCCAGCCTCCTCTTTACTGCAGCATTTACAACCTATGCTTCACACCCATATATGAGTGTTGGTGCCACAATATACTCTCATACATACACACAAAAACATCATGCTTTAACTGACGTAGTCTTAGATCTTTAACACAAAAAAATTAAGAAATTTAATATATGTAAAAACTGTCCAGTAATTACTTTTGAGAACTTTGACTTGATTCCGAGGTCCGTCGTATTCTAGCTTCCACTGTTCTGTTGTCATTTTCATTTTCTCCTGGTGTACTAAGGTGGGAAGAGAGGCGTTGTAAATTACAGTTATCGTCATGAGACCGGAGGTTGAGAATGTCATCATCGCCAGAGTTAGTATCTAGTCTTCCTATGGTGTATGAAGACTCAGCAGCAGTGTCTCCTATTTGTGCTACTTCCAGTTCATGACCTGGTTGGGAAGAGTGACAAGGAAGAAATCAAGGTTCATCTACATCATGGACTATACCAAGAGGTATAGCAACAAGTTCTTAATCCAGATCATGGACTACACCAAGTGGTATAGCAACAAGTTCTTAATCCACATTATGGACTATGTGAGGGGCTATAGCACAACATACTTTCATCCTTATCCATTATAACTTTAATTGCCAACAAATCATAGTACAGTAGAGCTCCAATTTACAACCTTTAAAGTTATGATGTTTCACACTTGCAACACTGGGTTTTAAAATCATTTAATTACTTATAAACAAGTGGTTTGCACTTCCAACAGTAAGGACTACTTACAAAGCTTAAAATAAGCAAGCAAGAAACCATACCACGGGTGGGGTTTGAACCCACGGTCAGAGAGTCTCAAAACTCTAGACCGTCGTGTTAGCCACTGGGTCTAGAGTTTTGAGACTCTGACCGCGGGTTCAAACCCCACCCGTGGTATGGTTTGTTTGCAATCGTGTCATTACAATTTCGTGAGTCAAGCAAGAAACATCCTGTGCAATGAGAAAGACAGGATCAACATTCAAGGTAAAGAAATGTATGTATGTATTGGTAAATATTTTGCTTATAATATTTAATTGTAAAATTAATATGGATGCACCGTGGAAATATTATTTTGTTGCATATACAACTGAAAAAGCAAAAAAAAAATTTGAGGGGAGGAAAATGAACTGATACTGTATTAGATATGAAAAATTTGGACTTTGGAATACATGTATTAATATATTTTACACTTTTTTATGGGAAAACAGGTTCCAACTCAGGGGTGTTGATCCACAGAACACCCTCCAGGTAAGTACCAAACATTCAAATTATAATGAAGTTTGGGGGATGCACTAACGTCATAGGTTGGGGCTCTACTGCTCTGTGAAACCTGGTGTTGATAAACTGATTGAAATTTTAATACTGAAAGCCAGATTCTATGACCGAAAGTATGAAAAATATATGAATTATTACAATAATATGAAGAGATATGAATAAAGTACTCAAGAGGTATACCTGTAAAATGTGCCCTGAGTTGATACAGGTAAGTCATGACAGCTAATTTATCAGGCACTGTGAGTATGACCATGTCTTGTGGCTCAATCAGGCGAGTCACTCCTAATCTCTCGCCAGCTTCAAATGCCTTTTTACAGTTCCCTTTCACATCTTGTGGAGACAGGCTGTCATAGTCTCTGAGGAAACAATGTTACTTTTGCTGGTGCTTAATTCAACACATACACATTTTAAACTTAGTGTTGAGAGGAATAAGATTACCTGATAGAAATATATCATTCATCCTTTACAGACATAGATGCAGTTTATATAATACATATATTAGCATCCAGTAAAAATGTAGGGTAAAATTACTAATGGAAGGTTTATTAGGATCTCAGCTTATATAATATTTCTCAGTCTGCTACATTAAAGAGTGAAAAATATAATGCAATATTTATCCAGTGTTGTAAAACATAAACACACTGGACCAAATTGACAACAACTGTGACAATACCTTCACTGAGTCTGTATATCTTTACAGCAAGCCATCCTGCTCAACAAACACTGATATTTAACTGTGACTCAAGACTCTTGGTAAAAAGACTGATAATGTAATGTAAAAAATGAGAGTTTGCTATCATACTTTTTCAATGTTCTTGGTGGCTCCTGCTCTCTGTTTATGTATTAAAACTGTCATTGCATTTACTGGTGTTAATATGATATACTACATAGTTACTTAAAGTATATATACATATATATAAGAACATAAGAAGGAAGGAACACAGCAGCCGGCCTACGGCCTCATGTGAGGCAGGTCCAAGTCATCTCCTGGCTTAAACCAATAACCAACCTAGTCAGGTCTGGTCACATCCACTTAAGGAAGGAGCACGGCATCAGGCCTATTAGCACAAGCTAGTCAGGTTCAACTCTCACTCACCCACACCAACTCATGTATTTATGCAACCTATTTTTAAAACTACACAATGTCTTAGATTCTATGATGGTACTCAGGAGTTTGTTCCACTCATCCACAACTCTGTTACCAAACCAGTGCTTTCCTATATCCTTCCTGAATCTGAATTTTTTCCAACTTAAAACCATTGCTGCGAGTCCTGTCTTGGCTAGATATTTTTAGCGTGTTATTTACATCCCTTTTATTTATTCCTGTTTTCCATTTATACACCTCAACCATATCCCTCCTAATTCTATGCTTTTCTAGAGAGTGTAGATTCAGGGCCCTCAGTCTATCCTCACAGGGAAGATTTCTGATACACGGGGTCAACTTTGTCATCCTCCTTTGTATGTTTTCCAGTGCATTTATATCCATTCTGTAATATGGTGACCAGAACTGTGCAGCATAATCTAAATGAGGCCTAATCAAAGATATATAGAGTTGAAGAACAACCTGAGGACTCCTAGTATTTATGCTCCTTGATATGAAGCCAAGGATTCTGTTCGCTTTATTGCGAAAACTTATGCACTGTTGTCTTGGTTTTAGATTACTGCTAACCAGAGCTCCCAAATCCTTTTTGCAATCAGTAATATTAAGATCTACATTAATGCCACATTAGTTGCACTTGTGTCCTTTTATTTTACATATTGTCGGTAATTCTACCAACATATATACAAGATCTACATTATTCAGTTTATATGTGGCACGGTTATTTTTTTGTCCAATGTTTAGAACTTGCATTTTTCTATATTAAACTGCATCTGCCACTTCTCCGACTACTGCATCAGTCTATTCAAATCTTCCTGGAGTGCTCTAATGTCCTCATTAAAACTGAATTAGGTGACCTATTTTTGTGTCATCAGCAAACTTGCTTATGCCGCTATTTATTCATTCATCAATGTCGTTTATGTAAATTGTGAACAACAAAGGGCCCAACACTAACCCTTGTGGAACACCACTCGTGACATGCCCCCACTCTGATTTCTCCCAACTGATGCAAACTCTCTGCTGACTATCTGTCAACTATGCCTCTACCCAGGAAAAAGTTTCTCCTATTCCATGTGCCTTAATTTTCCTCAATAGCCGCTGATGTGGAACTCTATCGAAAGCCTTACTGAAGTCCATATACACAATATTGTATTCATTACCATGATCAACCTCCTCAAATACCTTGGTGGAAAAAGCCAGTAAATTCACAAGACAGGAACACCCCTTAGTAAAACCGTGCCGAGATTCATTAATCAATTTATGCCTTTCAAGATGGCCACGAATTGCCTTGGCAATTATTGATTCCATAAATTTTTCTACCATGGAGGTAAGGCTTACTAGTCTATAGTTCAAAGCTAAGGACCTGTCTCCTGCTTTGTAAATAGGTATTACGTTTGCCATTTTCCACTTGTCTGGCACTATGCCAGTTTGTAGTGATATGCTGAAAAGACTAGCCAAAGGATTGCAAAACTCCTCTTTACATTCCTTTAAAACCCTTGCAAACAGTTCATCAGGGCCTGGAGATTTGTTCATTTTTAATTTCTCATTTGTCTGAGGACCATGTCACTAGTTACCCTAATTGTGCATAGTTTATTATCGTCCTGTTCATTTTTAATTTCTCTATTTGTCTGAGGACCATGTCACTAGTTACCCTAATTTTGATTTTATTATCATCCTGTTCTACATAATTTCTTATTTCTGGAATTTCGCTAGTATCTTCCTGTGTGAAAACTGATAGGAAATAAGAATTAAAAAGTTTGTGCTACAGTGTTGTTGTTTGGGATGTTTCTAAAACTTGTATTAAAAACTACATAACAATGTAGAATGACTCCATATATCACAAAAAATATGCTTCCCACTGATACTGAAGCATTAATGGGGGAGTACTGAAGGTCATGCAGCACCTGGAAAATGGAAAGCAATCAGATTTGATCCAAGGAAAGGGATAGCAGTTCCAATTATTTTAATCAAGATTACATAACCGACATCTAATGCCTTCCTTGCAGGAGACACTTCCTCATGAAGGTAATACTGAGGTCAGGCCTTAGGCACTCACACGAGGTCAGACCTCAGGTACTCATACAAGGTCAGACCTCAGGTACTCACACAAGGTCAGACCTTAGGTACTAACATGAGGTCAAACCTTGGGTACTCACATAAGGTCTGACCTTGGGTACTCCAAGATCTGACCTTGGATACTCAAATAAGGTCAGACCTTGGGTACTCAAATAGGGTCAGACCTTGGGTACTCAAATAAGGTCAGACATTGGGTACTCACATAAGGTTGGACCTCAGGTACTCACATGAGGTCAGACCTCAGGTACTCACATGAGGTCAGACCTCAGGCACTCACATGAGGTCAGACCTCAGGCACTCACATGAGATCAGACCTCAGGTACTCACATGAAGTCAGACCTCAGGTATTCACATGAGGTCAGACCTCAGGTACTCACATGAGGTCAGACATTGGGTACTCGCATGAGGTTAGACCTTGGGTACTCATATAAGGTCGGATCTCAGGTACTCACATAAGGTCAGATCTCAGGTACTCACATGAGGTCAGGTCTAAAATGGTGGACAACGGCACAGAAGGCGAGGCCATTCCTCCATGAGGTGGTCATGTTGGTGATCTTGACACCCTTGTAGCTGCGTGTTACTGTCTGGCACCATGACAGCAGATCCTGCCCTGGGGTACACCCTCCTCCTCCTATATCTTGACCTTCTGTCTCTCTCCCACCTCCTCCTTCTCCACCTCCTGCATCACCACCTCCTTTAGAAGGCCCCATCTACAAAGAAAAAAGTTAAATGTAAGTTTTAGGCAAGTTTAACTGCATTAATAAATTATTATAATAGATTATTTGTTAAAAAATAAGTTTCATGAAAATCAGACAGCAAAACACAATTTTTCATTTCAATAACAATGTTTAAATATGATAAACTTTTTGTTATTGTATTTAACTGATACCCTGCAAGACTAAACAATAATAAAGGAGAATATAAACTGTAAATGGTCAATGATCAACAACAGAGGTAGAGAAAATCAAATGCTATAAAGGAGGGCCCTGCATACAGAAGGGCCCCACTTATATGGCAGGTTAGGTTCCAGGCTACCGCCGTAAAACTGAAATCGCCGTAAAGTGGAACACCCTTTTTTTCCACTTCTAAATGTATATAAATACTAGATAACAAGTTTACACTAACATATACAGTGGTCCCTCAATAATCTTCCAGCCTGAAAGTCGTCCATTTCGAAAATAGTCCCGTTATTTCGTCTAAACATTGGCTCGCAAATGGTCCGTTAACTCGCTAATCGTCTTTCATCCTGGACGCGTACTCACGGCTCTGAGCCGCATCGTCCTCCCTTCCCAGCCAGTGTGCCATTGTATACCAGTGAGCGACAGTCCCCTCACGTGTTCATACGAAATATTTCATAATATTCCATTCATTTTAGTGCTTGCAAGTGCTAAATAAGCTACCATGGCTCCAAAGAAAGCTCCTAGTGCCAAGCCTTTGGTAAAGAAGGTGAGAAATACGATTGAATTTAAGAAAAAACATCATTGAACAATATCAAAGTGGCGTACGTGTGGGCGAACTGGCCAGGATGTACATGAATAACAAATCCCGTACAATCATATCTTCCATCATAGCCAAGAAAAAGGAAATCAAGGAAGCTGTTGTTGCAAAGGGGGTAAATATGCTGACAAAAATGAGATCACCAGTACTCAAAGATGTTGAGAAGTTATTATTGGTGTGGATAAACGAGAAACAATTAGCAGGAGATAGTCCTATGACGTCGCTTATTTGTGAAAAGGCTAAGCAGTTGCCTAACAATTTGGTAAAGAAATTGCCTGCAACTAGTGGTGATGCGAGTGAATTTAAGGCCAGCAAAGGCTGGTTTGAGAGATTTAAGAAGCGTACTGGCATACACAGTGTGATAAGGCATGGTGAGGCTGCCAGTTCGGACCAAAAAGCGGCTGAAAAATATGTGCAGGAATTTAAGGAGTACATAGAGGCTGAAGGACTGAAACCTGAACAAGTGTTCAATTGTGACAAAACAGGCCTCTTTTGGAAGAAAATGCCAAAGAGGACCTACATTACTCAGGAAGAAAAGGCACTGCCAGGACACAAGCCTATGAAAGACAGGCTGATGCTCATATTCTGTGCTAATGCTAGTGGGGATTTCAAAGTGAAGCCGTTACTAGTGTACCATTCTGAAAATCCCAGAGTGTTCAAGAAAAACAATGTTATGAAGAGTAAACTGCGAAGAGCTAACCACTGAGGAGCTGCAAGAGCTTCAGCAGGAGGAGCAACAGATTGCAGCTCAGAATCTTGCTGCAGAGGAGGAGGAAGAGAGATGGAAGAAGGTGCCTTCTTCAGAAATTAAGGAGATTTTTGAAATGTTGGGTAGGATGGAAAGATTTATGGAGAAACATCACCCTGAGAAGGATGTTGCAAGCCATATCGGCAACTTGTACAGTGACAGAGTCTTGGCCCAATTTTTTTTGGAAGTTTTAAAGAGATGCCAGAAACAGAGCTCTCTGGACAGTTTTTTTGCGAGACTGGACTCCAGCGACTCTCAAGCTGGTCCTAGTGGCATTAAGAAACAGAGAAGAAAAGTAACTCCAGAAAAGCACTTGGTACCTGAGGTGTTGATGGAAGGGGATTCCCCTTCCAAACAGTAATTCAATCTCTCTCCTCCTCCAGTCTTCCATACACTAAGAAGAATCGCCAATAAAGGTAAGTGTTATGCTGTTAATGTTTCATTCATCATGTCCCATTGTATTGTTTATGTACTACATCTATATTTCATTTAAAAAAATTTTTGTTTTAATACTTCTGGGTGTCAGGAACGGATTAATTGAATTTACATTATTTCTTATGGGGAAAATTGATTCGAAAATCATCTATTTCGATGTAACACCATTTTTAGAAGAAATTTATATAGCACCTTCTTTTTGGTGTTCACATTTTCGCTGGCTTCAAACTGAGCCATTATTCATTGTGTTCCATCCGCTGGTGATAATCACTGGTGGGTGGAACAATGGCTCAATTGAAAGCCAACGAAAACATTGAACACCCAAAACAGGTGTTGTATGTGCAAAGCCCTCCTGTATACTGGAATACATATACAGCCTCTCCTCACTTAGCCCTTTAACTGTCCAAATGTAGATCTACGTTTGCTCGCGTAGCGCTCTGAACATAGATCTACATTTTTTACATTCTTTCTTATGGAGAAAATCAAGGGCGGAGCGCTACACACGCAAACATGGATCCATGCTTGGACAGTTAGAGGGTTAACGATGAAGTCCCGTTCCTAAGACCACATCGGTAAATGAATTCACTGCTAAGTGAAGAGCATACTATAATGGAAGTGGGTTTGTGTCAACTGTCTTTGATATTGTTTTAATGTCACCTTTGCATCATTTATAACATTTCTGGTATATTTTTAAATGTTTATACACTAGTGTACTGTATATTGTAATAAACAGATTAGAAGAAATCAGCTATATTATACATTATTTAAGCATGCATACTGGTGAGAGAGCCCGTCATAAGTCTGAGGTGTCGGTAATTGAGTACGTTGCTAAGTGAGGAGAGGCTGTACATATGTACAGAAGATCATATCGATGATCTACTGTACATACATATATACAGTAGATCATTGATTAATATGTGATCAATTATCAGTTTTTTTAACGCTGCTGAAAAATTCCAGCATATTTTCTTTGAAAATGCCATATTTATCATCTACCACAGAGTAAATGTAGGTTGGGGGAAATATGCAATGCTGCAGATTTATTCCCTTCTATCTAACATTAAGCCTGCTTAATGTACAGTGGAACCTCGGTTTTCATATGCCCTAGTCTATATGTAAAACTATAGTTTTGTATAAAATGTATTTTTTGTTAATCCATTCCAGACACCCAAAAATATTAACAAAAAATACATTTCAAAGAGAATAACTATAGTTTTACATACATACTAGGGCATACGAAAACCGAGGTTCCACTGTACTCACTTCTCTGTGCATACATGTCCAATATCATACTTATCCTATGTTAGTGAGTCAATTTTCAATTTTATCATCATCCCATCTCATCTCAGGAGACTAACCATAGCACTCAAAAGGAATGGGACAGACTGGAAGTACAAAAAAGAAGCATATGCATGAAAGTTTTGGTGTTTTGAAAAAAACCAGACATTACAAAAGCTTAAGGGTGGTGCACATGTGATAGAGATGCCATGAGCCTATGGACTGAATGAGGCATCAATTCATATAATTAGGAAGAAGGCAAAGATATGAGATTGTGCACCGAGTAACCCAGGTTGCGATTGCCTGAAAAGAATGACACATAGGTCACAACAGCTAAATAAGACAGAAAAGTTACTCAGTGGCTTGAGCAGTAAACCAGAAAGGATGAATAATTTTCTCTCATCATCTTAAAAGAAAAAGCAATAAAATACTATAAAGCAGTGTGCAATGAGGAAGGAAGGCCTGAACAAGAGTGCTTCTTGAGTACTGCCTGGTTCCATAAGTTCAAAATGTGTGACTAGATGCATATTAAATTTTCTGGTGAAGGTGGTGGTTCTGACCACATGGCTGCAGAGAATTTCCATGCTGAATTAGAGGAAATTATTTGAGGGTGGTTATGACTCACAGCAAGTGTTTAAGCTGATGAAGTTTTACTGGAAGTAGATGCTAATGAGAACTTACATCAGCAAGCAAGAGAAAATTGAACAGGGATTCAAGGCAGCAAAGGATCACTTCAGCTTGCTACTTTGCAGCAATATGTTAGGTAGTTTTAAGTGTAAACCCACACTTATTTACCACTCCATGACTCCCCATGCTTTGAAAGGTACAGATAAAACCACATTACAAGTTATTTGGAGATCAAACCAGTCAGCATGGATGACACAGTACTTATATTTATTAACTGGTTCAAGCATCATTTCATTCTAGAAATTCCAGTTTACCTATTCAGCAAGAATCTTGCATTCAAAGTTTCCTCTATTCTTGATAATTCCCATACTCACCCAAAATTCTTGGAAGATATGCACCAACATGCAAACATATTTTTACAACCAAACTTAACATCTCTGACATGACCCTGGATGGAAGAGTTATTAATATATTTAACCCTTTCAGGGTTTCGGCCGTACTAGTACAGCTTACGCCCCAGGGTTTTTGACATACTAGTACGCCTAAATTCTAGCACCCTCAAATCTAGTGAAAGCTGGTAGGCCTACATATGAAAGAATGGGTCTATGTGGTCAGTGTGTGCAGTATAAAAAAAAATCCTGCAACACACAGTGCGTAATGAGAAAAAAACCTTTGACCGTGTTTTTGGATTAAAACAGCGACTTTGCATTGTACAGTGGACCCTTGGCATACGATATTAATCCGTTTCTGAGAGCTCATCGTATGCCAAAATTATCGTAAGGCGAATTAATTTTCTCCATAAGAAATAATGGAAATCAAATTAATCCGTGTAAGACACCACAAAGTATGAAATTTTTTTATTTTTTACCACATGAAATATTAATTTTAATACACACACACTGACACTTACTTTCATTGAAGATCTGGTGATGACTGATGGGATGGGAGGAGGGGAGAGTGTGGAAGTTGTTAATGTTTAGAAGGGGGCTCCAGTTCCATTAGGACTTTAGGTAGCACGTCCTTTTCCGGGGTTACTTCCCTTCTTCTTTTAATGCCACTAGGACCAGCTGACCGTGGTGCAGCAACAGCTGACTTTGGTGCAGCAGCAGCTGACCGTGGTGCAGC